AATGATAATAATAGAAAAAGGATAACTACCACTTAGCTTTACATAAGATCGATGGTGAGGAACAATAACCATACGTAGACTTTTCTAGTTAAAAATCAACCTAGTGTGAGCTGTCCACATTGCATTAATCAGTAGTAAGTTAATTTGAAATTGGTAAAAAAGTTGTGTACTTTACAAATTTAAAATTTTAAGATGGAATTTATCGTCGCAAACTGCCAGAAATAATAATAATAATAATAATAATAATAATAATAATAGGTTGATGGTGGTTCGTGTAGGGATGGCATACCTTATCGTACCGAAAATATCGATCAATATCGATACTGTATCAAATTTTTCGGTATGACAAAGATACATACCTATATTATACCAAAAGCTTCAGCATACCGAAATTCGATATATCGAAACGTTCAGTTTGATTTCCATACGATAACGATATATACAGATTATACCGAAAATATAATTTTAAATTTAAAATAAATTAAAATAAAATGAATAAATATCATCATTCTTTACCACAAAAATATTATAAAAAAAAATTAAATTTTCAATTCCAAAATAAATATATATTACATTTAAAGGGGGAGGGCCAACTGGCTGCCGCCCTCCCCCGGCCGACAGACTGCAGCCGGAGGTGGCTGGCCATGGGGCTGCTGGCGACATCGCAGGTAGTTCCAAAAAAAATAGTCGAAGGAGGTTGGAATTTACCTAGATTTGCAAAGTCAAGTAAGAGGGGGCGGCTGACGGCTAACGTCATTAGGGTAGGAGGTCCGACTCAAGGGAGTGATTGGCGTCGTAAAAAATTAGATTTAGGATTGTTTTGGTAGCGGGTTGTGTGTTGTGGTTTGCAAAAGTGTATACTAGATTTAGGGATTTAGGTCAGTAGTTTGCACAATTTTTATTTTGATTTTAAAAATAATAATGATAATATATTATTTATATTAATAATTAAATTATTTAATAAAAATAATATCGATATGATTTTAATCCATATTATACCGAAAATTTCAGTATACTAGAATTTTCGATATTTTCTGCATGATATGATACAATAAATCGATATTTGGTATGTTGGATAAATTTCTTCATGCCCTAGGTGCTTGTATGTGATGCTGCTACTCGATTGTGTTAACTGATTCCTTGTGATAACAAATTTTGAGGTTATCTAAATTAATTTATGAGAGTTTGATTTATGCTCCTTTCTTATTTGTAAGTTTCGATCAAATGCCTATTTATCTACCATGGGGTTGATTTCTTTCTTCGATGACTTTGACCTTGAAGATATATGTGTGAAGGCATTACATGGACTTTGTTTATTTTGTTATTTTGCGCAATGTGAGAACTTATCAGAAAATCCTTCATTTTAGTACTACTTTCAATTAAACATGCTTAATTTTATTCCCTGCTCTTGTCCTTTTCATCCCCATCGCTTCATGTTAATTAGTTGATTTTTAGTGTTAGATATTCATTCGGTACATGAAAAACTAAACACAGATTTTAATGAATATAGTATTATATTGATTGATTGTGACATAAATTAAAAAATATTTTAAAAAGTATACGAATAAGTTAATGAAGTTGGAAAAGTTTGGATAAATTGAGTATGTAGATGTTAGTGACATATATGTAAATAAGTAGAATATTGAACGATATAAATTTTAAAAAATAAAAGCTATTTTCTTTAAATAAAAAAAATGTAAATTTAGTGGACAAATGAAGTATTTGATTCTTAACTTTGCTTCTAATTTTGATTTTTAGTATGGGATATCTTGCATATATTTTGTTGTTTCTAGTCCAGAAGGAATTTGTGAATTTTTCTTTGGGGAAAGTTTGCAAAGGATTCTCATCTCCTACAAATTTCCTCGGTAGTTTTAATACCTCATTATATGTGTCCGCTCTCTTAGACCTGTTATAAAATTCATGGCAATTTGCGAAAAATATATAATTTCTCAAAAAATTTGATAGCAAATATACGGGTCTCTATTTATTTATTTTTTTTTAGTGCAAACGATACTCCTTCCTTCCTTCCTTCCATGTTGTGATTGAAGAGACCATCTTCGAAGAAACTGGCCTCAATCTAGATTCTTGTCTTCAAGTTCACACTATTATTGTGAGTTGTGACTATCCCTTTCATGAACACTAGACATGATTTCTTGCACATTGCACTTTAAGGAATGTTCATGTCCTTGTCATAAACACTTGAAAAGCACATCCCCAATCAAGTAAATACAAGATCAGAAGAAGACCAATACTTAATCCATAACATGACTTCACCATTATATTATATTGATTCTCATAGACAAATTATATAACTAAATTATCCTAAGACAAAAAGTAAAGCACACTTTTTTTCTTTCTTCTTTTTTTTTCTTTTGCTTTTTCTTTTTTTTTTTTTGAAGCTCTAACCACTTCCACATGCTCCATTTTCAAATGTTTAATTTGTAGAGTAGATAGCCTCTAGATCAAAAAACTAATTCCCAAATGTGGCCTTTCGTTGCCCAACAGGGAGAAGGTCACTGAAACCCTACCCATCAAGGTGCCCTTTGAGCCTCAATTCATTACATATCGTGAAGAAAACCAAATTCTGCTGAGTAGACATACACTGTTTCAAGAATTTTATAATGTAGATTCATGGCGCCGAAAGATTCTTTTGAATCTCCATTGGTACGTATGATCAGCAATAGAGTGGGTTCTCACAAATATGTCTGCAGATCATCATTACTGATATGGATGGCTCAAATCTGATGATACATTGGATGCATTTATCCATCTTTCTGTAAAAAAACCATTGATTCTAACAGAAGCTCGTGCCTATAAATATACCTTGACTATAAGACCTATGGCTTCCCATTCACACAAGAACTATATTCTAATTCCCAACAATGTGTGGCTGTAGAATCATGCTGTTTTTTGTATTTATGTCGATAATGGCGGTTGAATTCGAAGCGCGGACTCTTTCATCATCACCCTATGGAAGGATGAATTCGGTGATCGAATCATTTCAAGTACAATTCCAAAGGAAGATGCTACTCGACGTAGGAAATGATCAAGGCGAGTCTTTTATGAGTGGAGTATATAAGCCGGATCGATATAGTCCCGGAGGACCTGATCCACACCACCATTGAAGTTTTACTGAAATTTGATCCAAGAAGGAAGTGATCAAGATGAGGATAATGATCATGGAACTTACAGATACAGGTTAATTAGCAAGAGACCAGCTAGTTCTTGTCCACTCTAAGTCAATGTTTAAGTTTTTAAATTGTGCTTCTGCTGATGGTTTTTATTAGCAGAGATTAGAGAGAGCTTGTAGTGATGAATTCCAAATCTATTTTCGATTATCAGAAGATTATTTGTAATGTAAATGGTTTTAAGATAATAATAGGCCTGTTTTAGATATGATTTTGGAAGTGATTTGGTATGGGATTAAATCAGGAGCATAAGAACAGTTGTTTATACTTTATCAATTTTATATTCAATATTATAGTAAAATCTTTTTATACCCTATTAAATAATTATTTTAATTTAAAATTTTGATATTAAATCCAAATCTCTAAACAAGTCCTACGTGTCAACAAATATAGTTATGTTTAAATAAATATGTCAACGTTCAATTCTAAATATTAATAAGAAGAACTACCACTCGCATTCGTCCGGGGATTTACTCCGTGCGCATTTTGGACAGCGGCTGCGGGTTTCTACGTTATTAAAAAATTAAACTATCCACTCCCTCCCACCACTTTTTCATTTACATCAGTCCCAATTGTTTTCTCACTTTTCCTTTTTTTAAGAAGAATCATACACTTTAATTTTATTTTAAATTTTTTAGTTCATTATTTTTTTAATTTTAATTAGACTTATTTTAATTTTAATTTATAATTATTTTTATTATTCGATAATTATTTTTACTAATATATTTTTAGTTATTTACTAATTATATCCCTAAATCCCGGTGTCTACGGTAAAATGGACATGGTATCAGGTACAATCAGGTACAGATGGAGTAATATTTTATAGATAATAGTACAATAACAAAATAAAAACATAAAGTCATGATTAAACTCATTTACATTTTAATGACATTATTCGTAATATTATGTAAAATATAAGAGTATTTTTTTTTATTAAAATAATACTTTACTAAAAAAAAATTTATACATTTGAATTGGACAAACAAAATGACAGTGATTATACATTAATCGGACGAAGAAAATATTATTTTCTAGATGTAGTTTATGTTGAATACTTGTACTTCCAAATATCACCATCACATACCATTTTATCATCATAACATACCATTTTTTAACCTATGATATACCACTTGGGGCAAAATCCAACTTCTATAATTATAATAATAAATAAATATACAAATAATTAAAAATAATATAGTATTTTCAATTAATTATATATTTGTATTATTGAAATTACCTAACATTATATATTTTTATTATAGAAAAAAATTCAAAGTTTTTATAATATCGATTACATCCAATAAAATTTTAATAAATTTCAAGAGAGAACCGTGACAATTTAATAAAAATTTCAAAATACATATAAATATATCAATAAATTTAATAATTAATTTAGACAATATCTAATGCCTCAATTAACAGTAACAGATGGCAAGTATTGTTTTTTTTCCTTTTTAAGTAATTAACAAAACTGTAATTTGATAAATCTATTATTGCATTCCATCAATCGTATCCAAATTCATACGTCATAGTAAGAAGTTTTACAAAATCTGAGTCAAAGTCTAGTAAATCGACCATTTCTGATCAGTATATTCATTGGAAGCCTACGATATTGACATGCATCACGACTAAATTTTCATATCATTTTTGTCAATCTCTTAATCCTACATTAAAGATCATTTTTGTATTCCCTTTGAAGTCGTGTATATAAACATCTTCTTGATTATCTCATTTCTTCAACTTGTTTCTCAATTAAGTTACGAATGGCCGAATCAGTTTTGAGTAATTTGGTACTTATTATCCTTGTAGCACTTATCGGTACACATTCAGTTTCTCAATCTGCATATGTCCTTCAAGACGAGCCCATTGATAAAGAAGTTTTCCAGCTACAGCAATGGCCATCGGCACAACTCTTGATGGAGCCACTGAGAGTAGTGCCTCGCGGGCCAGATCCGAAGCATAACCAGCAAACGCCTCCACTTGAGCTATCCTTGAATAAGCAATTAAGAGTGGTGCCTCGTGGGTCAGATCCTGGGCATAACCAGCAACCATCTCCGTTCTAATTATCCTTACCAGAACAGTTGAAAGTGGTGCCTCGTGGGCCAGATCCTGGGCATAACTAACAACCACCTCCGCTCGAACTATCATTGAATGAGCAATTAAGAGTGGTGCCTCGCGGGCCGGATCCTGGGCATAACCAGCAACCACCTCTGTTCGAATTATCCTTACCAGAACAGTTGAGAGTGGGGCCTCGTGGGCCAGATCCTGGGCATAACCAGCAACCACCTTCGCTCGAACTATCATTGAATGAGCAATTAAGAGTGGTGCCTCGTGGGCCGAATCTGGGCATAACCAGCAACTACCTCCATTCGAACTATCTTTACCAGAACAGTTGAGAGTGGTGCCTCGTGGGCCAGATCCTGGGCATAACCAGCAACCACTTCCGCTCGAACTATCATTGAATGAGCAATTAAGAGTGGTGCCTCGTGGGCCGGATCCTGGGCATAACCAATAACCACCTCCGTTCGAACTATCCTTACCAGAACAGTTGAGAGTGGTGCTTCGTAGACCAGATCCTGGGCATAACCAGCAATCACCTCCGCTTGAACTATCCTTAATAGAACAGTTGAGAGTGGTTCCTCGAGGACCTGATCCTGGACATAACCAACAACCACCTCCACTTGAACTATCATTGAACGAGCAATTAAGAGTGGTGCTTCGTGGGCTAGATCCTGGGCATAATCAGCAACCGCCCCCACTTAAAAAATACTCGATGGAGGTCTCCGGCGGCTTAGATCCCAAATAAGTGACAACGTTGTGGCTCTCAATGTTGCAATGAGAGTTGAGAATTTACTACAAAAGGCTCATTCACAGTGAGAAAAAGACTCCTCATCCTATCTATGAATGTTATTTTTGTTATAATAAATGATTGGTTAAGAAAATAAAATGTCCAATTTGATTGTTGCACTTAAAGTCTTGCTTTTTGTTTATGCATTGGTCATGTCTATTGATTTAATTTTAAGTCGGTAATATATTAAGATGAAAAATAAAGTGGAAGGGTCAACATCTCATTAAAATAATTTTTACAAACTATAATTTTTATAAACCGCCTTTACGGCTAACATCAATAATTTGGTAAACAATAAGAATATATATATTTTTTCATAAATTGTGTCGGATTCGTGTTGATCTGTATGTATAATTGAATCGAAATTCTTAACTTAAACCCAAGTATTTTGTATCACTTTGTTGTGTTAGTTTTTCTCAATCCTACTTCTAATGGAAGAAAAATGGCTTGAGTAAAAAAAAAAAAAAAGAAGTTAGATCAATCACGAATGATTAATTATTCGAATTTACAATTGTCATTGTTGGAGTACTATATAGTTATTGATCTTAATAGGTTTATAAAGGAGATGAATGTGTAACTACTTATGCATATTTATTTCAATGCAAGTTTAATATTTTCAATATCTATGAACTATCGATTCAGTACAGATAAAAATGACATAAATAAAAGTATGTGTTGTTTATGTTGTGCAAGAGTATATTGTGTGCTGAAATTAACTGTTACATGTAATGTGTGAAACTATATCATATGTTGTATCAATATTGTGTAATAGTTGTCGACTATCTAACATTACAACTCAATATTCTAGTAGTGGCAATATATAACAAATCTAGGATCTAAACAAAAAATAAAAGCCATGATAATAAGATGGAGGTAGTTAAACTTCGAAATATTAGATAAAATATATTAAACTATCGTATTCTTAATAATATAACAAATATACCCCATAAATTTCTCCTATCTCCCTCATGAAATCTTATGAGAAACTATCAAAAGAAAATTTATTATATCCATTCAGTTATTCAGTAGTTGTACTACAATTTTGTTCGTCAATTTGCTTACTACAACAGGTATTCACCAGATTAGTTATAGATGAAGCTCACTTGATGGCATCTGGTGGCCCTCAGGTGCCAAAAATTGCATGGCTTGTTGATCTGCTACTGTAAGGGCTTCCGGCGCACCCTCCATTACGCCCTGCAAATATTGTTTATTCGACAGACATTCTTTCAGCAAATTGTGTCGATAGTGTAAAAATTATTTGTAAGTTCGAAGATCACAATATCCTGGCATGTATACGACAATCGATGACTTAATGAAAATGTTGATTTTATGAGGATGAAGCATGTTGCGATGATCGTGATCATGTTTTATTGTTTGTATGCCGAAATCTTAGGATGGATTATGGATTACATCATTAGGAGATAAAAAAAACAAGGCAACATTGTATATTTGTCGTTAGTAAACCTATTGTAGAAGAGGGAAGTGGATCCCATACTGATTGGATCAAATCAACATATATAATAAAGAAAGACAATAAATATTATACTATCTTCGTCCAGAGTTAATTATGTCACTTTGTTTTTGGTACGGAGACTACTAAATAATAATATATTAATGTAAAAATTAGTTAGGTAAAAAGAAAATGGAAGTACTACAGAAAATTTATTAGAGGATTGATAGAAGTGATTTGATAAGTAAAAAAAAAAAAATAGTGACAAATTGATTATTATTTGTTAAAGTATAACTAATAAAATTATAGGTAAATAAAATTGTTTATTATAAACGAAGAGAGTATATAACGTTACATATTTATAATATAACATATATTTCTACGTAACATAAAATATACTTCTATTTAACATAGCAATACGTTGTGGTATGTAAAAACACATCTTGTTTACATGTTGATTGGGTCAAATCAAGTGTGTATAAGAAATAAGTTACCGAAGACAAGAATTTAGAAATTTCTGATCACCTTGACAAAGGAAATTGAGCTTTCAGATTGTAGCAAAGAGGTATAGTAATCCTTTGGCGGGTAGAATTGTTGAAAGGCATCGATGTTAGGGTTGTCGTTTTGGCATCCTTCCGCGATTTGTTTATTCTCATTTCCACTTGTATGGGACATGGAGTCATAAATTGTTGGTGATGCATGCTCCCTGAAATAAATTTTTAGATCAAACCAAAACTTTGTGGTTATTTCCAAATTTTAAGGAACCATATACTGATAGAAAAAGAGGAAAGATGTCCAAACCTTATAGTTCCAGAACATGCATCAGATCCAAAATTCAAGTGATCCACATTGTTTAACTCAATCCCATTATCGTCTTCAGTCTCAAGTAAGGGTTGTTCTTCTTGTGCTTGTGCATCAGTAATGTACTGGACCACTGTGTTTATTTGCTTTCAAGAACACATAAAATCATAGCATACATCGATTAAATCAGACAGTGGAAACTGAATTAATGCAAATTAAAGAATATAGAGATCCTTTTGTTGTTGCTGTTGTTGTTATAGTTACCTGTATGGTGTCTTGATAGCTTGATTGCTGCTGATCCACTTTACTTGAAAGAATTCTCTGGAAGTTCCATTTTGTAGAGAAAAACTTATAAAATGAATGAATTGGAAGAATGAATTAAACTAATATTCCATGAATCTTGATTTCTGTCTTTACCTTACTTTGGGTGACGCGGCGCAAAGCCTCCACGAGTCGCATTTCACACCAATCGAAATCTTCTAATGTTGTAATCTTGTCGAAGTCCGGCTCAAAAATCCTTCGAGATAACAAACAAAAATAATAAGATATGAAGTGCTTTTTCTTTATTCAATATGATTGTTTAACAACTCACAAGCGATTGTAAAAATATACTTTTTCATACAAAAATCACATCTAATAATTCTTTCACTCAAGAACAAAAATACAAACACAAAGACGAACAACTACTGTGTTTGTTGTTACGTAATTGATATTAAAGCATGTATCAGTTGTTGATCCGGTCAACTCAACACCATGATTTGACCGGATCAGCATATGTTATAGAAATGACCAACATATATTTATACATATCTCAACATACTTATAATATTATATAAATTATATTATAACTCAGCATATGCTATTTTATAATATAGCAAGATATCTATAAATATATATTGATCACTCTATAGCATATATTGATTCGGTCAAATTAGCGAAATGATCGGCGGAAGAGCACAGGATCTGCGGCCTTGATATTAATATTTGTTGATGTACAAAAAGGGTGTAGTTTGATGGATTTTGGCAAATCAAAATATGGCCAAGTTGGATTTTTACCTGAGCTGTTCTTCACCCTTCTCCAGTTGATTTTGCAACTCATGGATCTCTTTTTGTATCTCCTGAAAATATTAAGGAAATGAATTAATAACACGTGAAAATTGTGTATGTTCTATGGACTATAAAATAATTTACATACCTCAGTATCAGAACCTGGAGTTGCAGGACTAATCCAGACAAAAAGAAATCATTAACATTATTGTAAGATGAAATAAAATCAAGAGATAGAACCAAATTTAACAAGAAAGTTTTTACCTTTGCACAGCAACATCCTTTTCATTTTTTATCTTTATCAAAGTGTTCATAATTTGCTGCATAAATCAACAACAACCAAATGGCATCTGTCATCACATCTAGAGAAATAAAGAAAGACAAATGAAAGCTAATGTTTAGAAACTTACATCTCTATTTGGGACAAGTCTGTATTCATCGAAACAGCAACGAAAGTGTAAGAGCAGAATGAACATAATCAACAAATTAAAATTCACATTAAGAAATGTAGTAAGAACCAAGAAACTTTACCCTCCCCTATCCCGATCAGAGAGATTAAGATATCGATAAATCACATCCTCAATTCTGACAAAATTCGAAGAACAACAAATAATCCATTAACCCTAATAAATATAACTAAATAAAATCGATACATTTCCATGCACTGCAAGAATAAACAATTACCTTTTCCTACCAGAAAAATGGCTGAGCCGACCCGACGGAGAGAGCATGATTAACGTTAAATCGATGTCGCAGAGAACAGCTATTTCGTAAGCTTTTTTTATCAGACCATATCGTCGTTTCGAGAATGTAACCTGACGATTTGTAGTGTTCTCGATTTTCTTAATCGGAAGCTTACTTCTCCCCATTGTTAATGTAATTCTTTTTGTCTGAACCTTTTAGCTTTCTACTGTTGATGGCAATAGGGGAAATGATCGAATGAGAATGAAAATATATATTGTTTGGGAGTGACAAGCTTGAGGTGGTAATGGTTTGATATTACGAGATTCACTCCTACTTTTCCATGTGGTGACGCATGAAGTGTCGACACGTGTATTTCATATTTTTTTTAAAAACAATTAAAATTTATTTTAAAACAAAATATCATAATTTCATAACAGTTATATCATAATGGGCTGATAAATGGGCCTGGTTTATATTATCAGTAATAAGTGAATAAACCAAACCGCCCAACCCAACGAAGCGTCGTCGTTTTGGTTCTCTCCTCTTCCTTCCATCGCTCTTCCGAGGGATCACAGCGCCGCGCCATGGTTTTCGGAGCGTTGAGATCCTTAATCCGACCCGCATCCAGGTTCCGTTTACCCGCATCTCATTTCCCTGCTCCGGCTGCAACCTTCTCCGCCGCCTCCACATCGCCAGAGCTCCGCCGCGTCTCCGCCCCCCTAAGTCGCAACCTTCCCTGGTTTCCTCCGTGTAATGCCTTCCACAGCCTTACGGATTCCAGGTACCCGAAGCGTAGACCTAGCGACAAGCCTCGCCGGAAAAGAGCCAGCTTGAGACCACCAGGTTTCCAAATTGTTCGAATTATTGCAGTTTCCTGATACCTGCATTTTTTTTGTTGGTGCTAATATGTATTCTGAGATAAAATTAGTGGAAGATATTTAGTTCTGAGTATTTTTCGTGTGGAAAAATCATTAGGACCGTATGCCTGGGTGAAATACGTGCCTGGGGAGCCTATACTTCCTAACCAACCAAACGAAGGGAGCGTGAAGAGAAGGAATGAGAAGAAGAGGATCAAGCAGCATCGTGCATTTATAATGGTATGATCTGTTCTATTGACTGTTTGGAATTGACACATTTTATTCTCTAATGTTCTCTGTGAATATATTTAGTTGATGGTTCTTAGGATATATATAAATTTGAATTTGAGACAATCGAAACTCTTTATGAAATACATTGGTAAAGAGGTGTGCATTTTATGGTTCTGACTTTGATTGGATGTTTTCATACATAGAAATCTTCTGTATGTCTGCTACATCACATCCACTGTAGTATTATATGTGCTTTGTTGTCCACGTCTTATTTCTCCAAGATGGATATAATTGAGAGTCATAACAAACAGATTTATTCTGGGATTTAGTTGATGTTATCCAGAGTGTGATTGCATCGATCATGAAGTATGGCTTTTAATTGTGGACTTAATGGAAATTCAAAACATTTTAGTAAAAGGCACATCCCATGGCACCTATATCTTCTGTTTCCCTTCTCCGGCTTCTTTTCTGCTTTTGCTTCTGCTCTGCCCCTTCTGCTCTCTATTGTTTCCACTCTCTCCTCCTGTCGCTTGCCCCCACAAGCCTTTTGACTCCCAAACCACTTATCAGTCCGGATCAACTACCATACATATGAGGATAGGTCAGCCTTCTGAGCCCTAATTTTTTTCAATGTTGGGGTTTTAAAATATAAAATTCTTTGTTATCTTATTAGATATTAGTTACAGTAATATATATTTATATACTTTGTTTAACGATGATTTTTTTGTAATTTGGTTTCATTTAAGACTACTGTGGATTTTGATATGTTTTTAATATTGAGATTCTTAAGTGATTATTTTGGTTTGTTGAAAGTGTGTTATTTTGTTTACTTATATATATACATATATGTGTGTTAATTATATATCAATAATTACAGTGCATAGCTTGCCATGTGAGTGCTGTGCTCCATTGCATGGAACATGCTCTGCTGTGTGCTATGTACAACAACTATTCAGGGCATGTTCCTTTGTGTTCTGGGGTGTCCACCGTGTTTTGGATTGTTATGGAAATTATACAAATACTGAATTGAAATAGGTTTTGATGTGATATTTTTAATAGAAAATAGGCATTTCATGTGATATTTTAATAGAACATATGTTTTTGATGTAATATGTAAAATAAAATTAAGTATTTTATGTAATGGTTTTCATAAAAAATAGGTGTTTGATATGATATTTTGAATGGAAAATATGTTTCTGATCTAATATTTTATGTAAAATTATGTATTTTATGTGATATTTCATAGGCATTTAAAAAAAAAAAATAGAAATTATTGTAGCCCGCACAGTGCAAAAGCAGGTTTGATACTGAAAAGAAACTAATTCTTTTACTATTTTACTGGAGCAGCTGCCAGGTTATGTGAGGTCCAAAATTGTTTACATCTTACATCGAATTTTTTATGGCATGGTTATTATCAGGCAATCTAGGAATCACATTATGTTGTTCTGTTGCTAAATTGTATAATGAACAGACATGATAAGTCAACTGAGGCTGCCAAGATAGTTCGTTTAGTACTTAAAATGAACTCTTTCCTTCAGAGTTATGGCTAATATTTGACTGAAGTTCGATTTCTGCTGTGATTGTTCTAAGTTATTTGTAACTTCCCATTTATATAGTAGCCTAATAAGCATGAAGAAAGTTTAATTGCTACCAGCCTACTGAACTTGTAGCTACTCCTTTTAATTCTGAAAAAATAAATAAATAAATAAATAAATATTATTTTGATACATAAACAAGGTCATTCAAAATTTTGTAATATTGATATGTGCTCCAAAGTTGTTTTAATCTGTGACTGATTGAGGTTGTTGTTGCAGATAGCTTGTCCGTATTTGTTAGAACTCCTAGTGATACAATTATTTCTTGGATGAAATTAGTCCCCGACAAACTATTGGCTTTATTGTTTCTTGATTTCTCCAGTGGAGAACTTTTATGAGCTTCAACTGTAATGTCGGAATTTTAGAATCTGGATACCTATCTTTTGCAGATTTTCTTCTTGCTGTTGTTACCTTATTCAGTTAATATCCCTCAGTTTGGATGCCAATTTAATCATATCAATGCCCTTGATTATGCTTTGCCCTGCTGTTTTATTAGAGAAATCATATGTGCTAATCTGTTTTTTAAGCAGCCAAGCCGTTCACTAATGTATGTTTATCTCTGTGCTAAGAAATATGTTGTCCTTGTGTAGTCTGAGAAGAGAAAGCGAAAAGCTGAGATGCAAGAAGCCAAAAGAAAGAAACTCATGAAAAGGGTCGAGCGGAAGATGGCTCAAGTTGCTCGTGAAAAAGCCTGGCAAGAGAGATTAGTTGAGCTGAAACGGATTGAAGAGGAGAAGAAAGCTGCCATGGCTTGATTTCTCGACTCCGAATTGGCCATTAAAGGTTCTTTTAAGTTGTTAATGGAAATGAAACTTTTGCTGTTAATGTGCAAATGGCCTCCACGAACTCTAGCTCATTATGCTCTTTTAGCATCCAAGTTTTTTAATGGGTGAAATTTGAACAGCCCCATTATGTGTCGTGTATGGTTTTGACTTAAGAACAATTTATCTAATAAGAATAGGGAGTGAAATGTGAGTTTAATTTGTTTTAGAAATATGCATTAACTGGTGGAAAGTGATTGAAGACATTGGCGGGAATCATGACAGCATCCAAAGGGATAAAAGTGTGATCCAAAAATGATGCACTTACTAGCAACACCAGTGACTCTATATTTGTAATTTCGATAGCTTTTACAACGGCTTCATAGTAGATGGCGTTAGAAGAGACACAATGTCGTGCAGTCGAGGCCCCCATCGGGCTAAATTTTCTTCGTTCTCTCCCTTTCTTCAAATCAAGTTATTCGGTGCTGTATTTCTCTCTTCTTTTCAACTATTCTCTCTGCTGCATGTTGTCGGGTGAATTTTTGTGAAAAGATTTTGTTTTATATTTTCAATTGTTATCGCAGGTAGTTGGAGGAATTCGTTCAAATGAATTTTTGTGAAAGTTGTTATCGCCGGCAAGAATTTGTGAAGATGGCATAAATAATTTTGGTTGGGACATTTGGATAAAGAAGACCTAGTCAAGAGGAATGAAAATTTTTCAGTTTCCTAACAACTTGTTAAAGAGGATGAGTGAGGATTAAAAGAACTATTGGATCATTTTTTTGTCTATCTTTTATTTTGTCTTAAAAATAGCATTGCCAAAAAAAAATAAAAAAAACTACAACGGTTATATGTGCATATTTTCATTAAATTTATAATATGATACATATATCGAGTTGTTTATACTGTATTATTTTTTATGATTTAAAGTTTTTAAGGTTAAATTTGTACCGATGCATTGGACCCAAGTTGATACGTATACAATGGGATCAAATATATGAAGTAATTAACCTAAAATTTTTCTCAACTCTCAAAAAGGCCCAACATTTTATTGGATTCTAGGCCCATATTACATGAGACAAGTATGGGCCTAACTACAAGGCCCAAACTTTGGTTTAAACAATCTTGTACTAATTACGTGCTGGGTATAAAGGATTTACCTGCGGTAAAAAAAGAATCTACCTTTGATTGGGCATTTACTACCTGGGAAGAACATGGTGGCGCATTTTAATCGTGGTTAGTCGAGTTTACTTGCCATGTCACCTGTTGGATTGCTTTAATCATGTATATATACTATATGTGAAAATTTTCGTAAAATCTGATTCGATGATAGCATTAGCCATTAGCATCGGTACATTTGAAGTAGTGTCTCTGTGTAGTAAGAATTACTGATGCTGTGATTTGATTAATCTTGGAATGTTTAATGAGTTACTGATGCTGTGATTTGATTAATCTCGGAATGTTTAATGAGTTACTGATGCTGTGATTTGATTAATCTTGGAGTGTTTAATGAGTTACTGATGTTGTATGTATATTGGGTAAATTTAGGGTAGCATTACTTACCTGGAATTTATGAATAAATGGGCAGATCCCGGCGCTGTTTTGGTCACCAAGAATCAGCAAACTCTCCGCACATATCCACCTTAATCAGTGTCGATTACACCCATCAATCTGCCGGTTTGATGCAATTGGATTAACAATGAAGAATTTTCAGGGAGCTTATCGTCTGTGGAAGCACTCTTTTGATCATCCGACGAACCGTAGATTATTATTCAACTTTCGATCATCCTTTTCGGGTACGCGGAATTCACATTTGAAAATGTATTCTGTAGTATGAACATAATGGAAGCGAAGATAATCACTTTCTTGAATTATTTCCGCTTTCTTATCTTTGAGGGTTGATATGCTCTGGTACTTCGATTTTTAGGTATAATTTAGTTCTAGCTCTAGCAAACAGATATAGTCATTCACCATTTTAGGTGCTTTTGTTAGTTATTTATGGCTATAAGTAAGAAAAATCACAAGTGTGGGGGTATGCCTCTTGCATAACACTTTCAGAATCAGCTTTATCTTGTTGGTTATCAGTTTTCTTTTGTTCTTGACAGGTCTTACTAATAACCTTACTCGAATGAGTGGGAGAAATGCTTTTTACCACAATCAAATTGTTCCTGAGTGTAATTCATTTTTAAGAAGTTATGGCCGTGGTCTTGTAGCTGCTTTCTGCAAATACGAGAACAATTGTTTCCAAATCCATTACAGAAATTTGACTTCAATGGCATCAACGCCCACAAGAAACAAGTCCTTTTCTGTGATTAATTCTGATGATATAAACTACTTTAAGAATATTTTGGGAGACAAGGGTGTGGCTCAGGAAGAGGAGAAGCTGGAAGATGCGAACATGGACTGGATGCGGAAATACAAAGGCTCAAGTAAGCTAATGCTACAGCCTAGAAGCACACAGGAGGTTTGTGCTTTCTTTTGGCTCATTAACTACCTTTTTATATTGAATTGTCTTCGACAGTTTATGTTTTTATTTAGAAGTTCCCAAGGCTTTGAGCTTTTGGGAAATAGATGATGGCATAATTTCATGAATCACCCTGACCCTTTCTATGGATTTCCATTCTTCTAATTATTTCATCTTTGATGCTAGCCTTTATATATCTGGTTTAGCAGTATTGAATCTTCTAATTCATGTTTTTTGTTTTTTGGTTTTGGAGAAGTGTAACTTTTTCATTATTTAGAGTAAGGGGAGCTTTAAACTGAAGCCTAAAAACTCTTAATTCAAATACTAGTAAGGATTATTAGTTGCACTGTAAATTCAATGGTACCAGAGTGTGAGGTATCTGGCTGAACTTGAGTAATTGGGATTCATAATCCTTATCTTTGTTTTCTCATAGAAGAGATTATTATGATTCCAAAAGCATTATTGGTTATGTTTGAGTCCAAGATCTTAGTTCACATATTACTGAAAAAGAACTTATGTTACTTATTCTGATGAGTAGAGGAGTATGTTGAATGGCTCCGCTTCTAGCCCTCTGTGTTTCCTTGACATCATCATAGGAGGCCCTTCATTGTTCATTTAATTTTGGCTGCTATAATTTTGTAATCATTCATTGTAGGTTTCTCAGATCCTTGAGTACTGTAACTCTAGATACCTGGCTGTTGTACCCCAAGGTGGAAATACAGGTCTTGTGGGAGGAAGCGTACCTGTCTTTGATGAGGTATGCTTGTAGCAATTCATTTCTGACACTTAGTGTCCAATCAAGAGGTATTGGATTCTCTATTGCAGCTTAAGGTAAAGATCTTTTTAGGTTTTATATCCCAAGAAAGTCTTCACTTGTTTCTATAATTTTAATTTGTTCAATTTACTATGATAATAAATAGCTTTGTTTAATTGATAGATTTCTTTTAATTTTAATATTTATGTATGACAATGATATTATGTGGATAGGGTGTAGAGTGATGGTTAGCTTTTACAACCACAAAAAAAAAAATAATAATAAATAAATATATAAAAATAACACAATGGAACACACATTTGCATTGAGGGTAAATATTGAATTATTGATTTTACTTTCCTGGCAAAATACAGTAGTTAAAGTTATTTGGGGGTTTAGAATTGTGTTTGTAAATTTGTTGGCGAAATGTTGATCAAATGAAGTTTACATTCAGACCAACAGTCCCTGTGGTTTGATATATGTTTTGGATTTCTTTATTTAAATTTATTATTAGATGTCTTCTATTAGATATTTAGATGATTTCAAATTTATTTATTAGCTTAAGCTAACTTTTGAGGATACTTGAGCTTGAGTCATCAATGTTCATGCAACTTTTGGTTTCTTAGTCTTATAGATTCTCTTGGTGTGAGAATACTCGAGCTTGAGTCATCAATGTGCATGCAACTTTTGTTTTCTTTCTCTCATAGATTCTCATGGTGTGAGGATACATATTTAATTGTTATCCCTCATTATTACTTGCCAAAGGCATGGAATGAACATTTTATTTTGTCATTAAATTTTGAAGTTTAAGAATATTTCAATGCTCTCATGTTTGAAGTTTGAACTTATGTATCTACTTCTCTCGTGATAACTATTCCATTTCAGGTAATTGTCAACATGAGTGCAATGAATAACATCCTTTCCTTCGATAAGGTAATAGTTGATGCCGTAGTTATACTATCTTTATGCCAAATCTTTTGTTATTCTTTCTTATTAGGATGCTCCAAAATTCTACATCATTTCTTTGTTTATAAAGTTTTACTTTTTGATTCCTCTATATAAAATTTTATTAATGTACATAAAATTCCAAACAAATATTAAAGTCAAAATAGACCCTTGACTATCTAAATTGTACAATCTAAGAAATCGTGCATACAAAAACTAGCAAAAGTTATGGGATGGGGAAGCACTATTCTGTACTTAATCGTCTGATATTAAATGTCAGCCTTTTTTCGCCAGTAAATCTTTTTTTTTTTTTACATGCTACATAGCTTTTTATCCCTTGCATTTGTATAATTGGAAAACTAAGTGTCATGCTTGTATTCCAAAATACAATGTTTTTTTAATTATCATTGACTAATTGCAACTGAAGTAGTTAGCTTTTTATTGTTGTTAGGTTAGCGGTGTACTAGTATGCGAAGCAGGATGCATTTTGGAAAATTTGATGTCTTTTCTGGATAATGAAGGGTAATATTTTTTTATATGTGATACGGTTTTGAGATGTTTCCTCTTAGCCACATCATAAATTATTTTTCAATGGTATCCGTGCTGTTACAACTTGTTCTATGTAATTTCTCCCATGTTTCTGAGTATAATAAAAAACCTTTACATTCTTTTGTGAGGCACATACAAGTTACTAATATCTGAAACCATTATTGCTTGAAATGATTCTATTGCAATATCCTAAGAGGTTAAAATCTTAATAAAATGATTACACCAAAATAAAAAAGAAATATAAGAATTTCTATCTATCCTTTTTTTTAATTGATCGGTGAGGAAGTTTTGGCATAGCTGGGATTCGATAGTTGCATCAGGTTTGGCTGTGGTTGCCTGTGGCAATCACAAATGGGTGGTTGGTTGGTGCGGCAGCAGCAAGATGCTCACAGCCTCACCAACATAGCGCCAAACACCCTAGCAATTTTCTTGCTTGGCACCTCAATCGGTTCCTTAGGCTGCCCAGAAACAATCTGGAAGACATAGATACAAATAAATTGGACTATTGTCACAAAGGAAAATCTTATTGAAGGAAATTAAACAGTAGGAAATAAATCAAAGAATTTCTTACAAGGATATCTTTCCCTTTCCAAGTCTAATAGCTGATTCAAATTTCAGAAAACTTATCCCCTAGACACTATCTATAACAGTCTCATTAACCTTAAGGGCCTTAACCCACTCTTCTTAGCCATATTACTATTATTTTTCCTTATAATATGTTGGTTTTTAATCTGAAACAAAATTTATTTGTGATAGCAATGATGTTCTGATAATTCCACTGGGAAAACCATTAACAGGTTGAATAGTAGTCTTAACGAACAGCAGTGATCTAGTTGGTTCAGTGATTTGTGGACTTAAGATCATACCTGATTCATATGTTGTTAAACGCCAAAACTTAAGCAACAAGAGGTTGTCTGGCGTTTGGGCACCAATTAGTAATGGCTTAGTATTTTGTGGTCCTGTTTGTTTGTATCTAGTTTCCCATAAGTTATTTTGTTTTGGCCTTCCAGATTTATTATGCCACTGGATTTGGGTGCTAAAGGAAGTTGCCAAATTGGGGGAAATGTTTCAACTAATGCTGGTGGCTTGCGCCTTGTCCGGTATGGTTCTCTCCATGGCAGTGTTCTTGGTGAGTCATTTTTCTTTCCTTTCAATTTTCACCCCTTGTTTTACTATACCCTTGGTGTATGTCTCTTTCCATGTGGTATTATGGCCTGTTAGTGTTATGTTTTCAATGCTCTTACTTCACTGTGGATTGTCCTCCTGTATATCGTGCATACCACATCTGATTTTTCATACTTCAAAGAATTCAGTTACCCTTGAAACTTGTTCAACAAATAAAAAATTTAACAGCATCCCTTCAAGTCCACAAAAAATATAAATAAATATGAAAGTACGACTATCTATGTTTTTTTAGAATGCTTAGGCCCTGTTTTCTTTTAGAGTTTATTTATTTATTTTTCTTAGTTTCTTGACTAAGCTCTTCCCACAAAATATCAAGCTCAGTACTTCATAGATTTTTAATGTTTTTTATTATTATTATTTTTCTATTGTATTGAATTTGTTATTCCATGAGCTGCGTTTTGGCCAATTTTTATATGCTGAATCCTTTGATATTATATTTGAATTTGTCAAATGTGAGACAAAAATCATTTGTAATTAGTAAGGTGCCTTCTACACAAATCCAGCAGGTGAAATTGGGTTTGGAATTAGGAATTAGGAATTAGGAGCTAGAAGTGTTTTCAACGTTTATCTAATTTTAGTTGATGTTGATTTCAAGTAGTGATCTCTAAATCTTGGCACTACTCTTCATCTATTTTTCTTTATTCTGTTTGTCTGCACCTAAATCATTTTAATTCATGTAAAACATATATCTCTAAGTTATTGCCTGAAAAGCTTTCCATACAATTTGAAGCACTTCTCTACCATGGAAGATTCTAGTCTTGTGCCCTTTCTTAACAGGAGACTTAACTGACGATTGCATGATATTTTCTGTCCATGTGAAATTGAAGGTCTTGAAGCTGTTTTAGCGAATGGTACTGTGCTTGACATGCTTGGGACTTTGCGCAAAGACAACACTGGATATGACTTGAAGCATTTGTTTATTGGTGAATAAAATTATTGTTGATTTTCTTGTGTTATGATATACCAATCTTTCTTGTCTATACTGTATTATTTTCTGTGTTCCATAGGGAGTGAGGGATCTTTGGGAATCATAACAAAAGTCTCGATACTTACACCACCTAAGTTGTCATCAATAAATGTAGCCTTCCTAGCTTGTGAAGATTATACCAGCTGTCAGGTAATATTTGAGAAAAATTTTAAGTCATGTGAGAACTTTAGCATTTCTTCCACGATAGTTTATTTGGCTGTATCCATACTTGTAAACATTTACACTTTATAATTTAATGGTTATGGCTATTAGATACCATAGGATTCTGACCGTTGTTACAGGGTTGTTGATTCAAAGGTTCTTGAAGATTTTACTATTAAAAAATTGTATATATGTATATAATGAAATAGGTGTCTTCAAAAACCTTGTCAAAAATAAAAAAGAACACTTCGAATTATAAGTGTATAGGTTATGCTATATTTTAAACATAAAAAATATAATGAGTTAATGCAATTAAAGAAGAAAAGATAAGCGAACTAATTAAGCTAAGGATGATTTAATCTAGCTAAAAAGCATTAAAATATATGTACGAGTAAACATGCAAATTTATGAATCTATGGATGAAAGTGATAGAGATTGTGAGTTGATGTATATATATGTGTGTGTGTATGTGTGTGTGTAGATATTGGATAGAACAGTAGGGAAAGGATGAGGATACGTTGTTCTGTGGTCCAACGGAGTAGAAGTGTTATCGTTTTAATGCGACTTGAGAGAATGAAGTAAGCAAATATATATGTATAAAGGTGAGGTGAGGGAAGGAATGATTGTGATCACATTAGAGATTCGAGCAAGGATTCACTGGGTCAGTTGGTACTTGACCTTAAAGGGTATGTGGATGTCGGGAATTGCAACTATGTCATTACAAGCTAGTGATATTCTTGTCACCACTAAGTTATTATGAGCTAGTGATGTTCTTTCTTCTCATTGCCTATTTCTTGTGCTGCTTCTCTTTAGTCAAAACCAAATTCTGCTTACAAGATAGATGAGGTTGTGATCGATACTGTTGCTCCCTCATAAGTCATATCAGACCACCTAAACACCGTTTTTGATGCATGAAAAGGCATGGGTCAAAAATTGTTTGTCATACACCACAGTATTAGCTGTCTTAATAGGTTTGTTATAGAAGTACTCTTAATAAAATACAACTGACCTCATGAGCTTGTTTTCTGGTTATTCCAGAAACTCTTGTTTGAAGCGAGAAGGAAGCTAGGTGAAATTCTTTCTGCATTTGAATTTTTGGACATCAATGCTATGGATTTGGTGAGATACCTTTAGCTGATATAACACTTTGAATCTTCTCCTTCTTCTTTCTTTCTTTATTTCTTTATTTATTATTTTTTTAATTATTATTATTATTATTTAAACACAGTGTCAAAATTTGATAAATTTTGTATAATCTTCAAATGCATATATATCTCACCATATCATTCTTATATTTTCTCCTGACATGTTGAAAATATTTAATGTAGTAAACATGGCCTTAGGGAATCTGTTTCCAGAATTCAAATTTTAGTTGAATACAAAATTTTTTGTCTTTTTATATCATTATCCCTGTTCAAAATAACTTTTACTGGAATGTATTTTGATTCATAATCGTACTTGGTTGGGCTCTATGGCAGGTTCTAAAACATTTAGACGGGCTTCGCAATCCATTACCTTCGTCAAAACACAACTTTTATGTCCTGATTGAGACAACTGGCAGCATCCAATCTCATGACAAGTAATTTTATTTGTAATCACCATATGAATTAATCTTTCGAGTTAGAAAATGACTTGAATGGATAAACTTTTTCAAGGTTTGCAATCATGAACACAACACAAAGGACACTTTATGGGAGCTGATCTATTAATTCAATTCATCTTGCATGTGTACTTTTTGTCACCAGTGAACAATGTGTGTATATATATATGTATTTGATCTCCATTATTTCCACCTGCATTCACCAGTGAAAAGCTTGAAGCATTCCTCGTTCAGTCTGTCGAAAGTGGACTAGTAACTGATGGAGTTCTAGCACAAGACATAAATCAAGCATCAGCATTCTGGCAAATACGCGAGGTACTTAACTGTTCACATTGGTCCATTATAATCATTGTGGAGAGACCCAATTTCTAAGTACTTGATAATTTGTGCTGTACTGATCGATATGGAATTTGTGGGAATGAATGGTATGAAATTCAATACTCTAGCTTGCACTAAATTCTAAGTCAATGGATCTTAGAAAACCCTAGCTTAAAGTGTATGAATAGGATGATGTACTATGTTTAAACTTGATCAAGAATAGACTTTTGTCTGCACAGCTCTTTCTAAATCCTAATTTTGTTTACATGTTTACAGGGATTACCCGAAGCTTTGATGAAAGCAGGGGCTGTATATAAATATGACTTGTCTATTCCTCTAGAATGGATGTATGATCTTGTTGAAGAAATGAGAAATCGTCTTGGTAATTAAGTGATAGCACCATTGTTCTCTTTTTTTTTTTCTTTTTTTTTTTTTTTTTGATCGGGTATAGCACCATTAATCTTAATTTGCTGCACTGTTGCTCCTTGGCATTCTTGAAAATTTCATTTAAATTGTTTATCATAAAATTTGAGTGAATCTGTTTCTTCTGAAACCTCTAGTTTGATTTAGACAGCATATGCCTTTTCTGAAGCTTATCTTCTAACATTATTCATTCCTCAAATCGGATATATCCAGGCACGTCAGCAAATGTTGTAGCATATGGCCACCTTGGAGACAGCAACTTACACCTCAATATATCAACTCCACTATATGACAAGAATGTAATGGTCATCTCCTATTCCTTTCAATTTTTGAAATTTGTTCAATTTCAGATATTTTCAAAATGAATCTCATACACTTCAGGTGTTGTCCAAAATCGAACCTTTTGTCTACGATTGGACATCAAAGCATCGTGGAAGCATCAGTGCTGAGCATGGCCTTGGGTCGATGAAAGCAAATAAAATTCATTATAGCAAGTCGGCTGAAACTGTGAGTCTTCTGTGTCCGTTACATGTATTTAGCACATGGTCATCTTTCCTGTTTTTCCCTTCACTACTCATGTGGGCGTCTAGCGAGTAAAATCTCCAGTTCTTTTTTCGCAACTGATTTATTCTCATACATATAAAGTATAGGGTAACAACATAAAAGTTATGAATGGATAAAAATGGAAATAGAGATATCACGAATAGATGAGAAAACGAGATGACCAGATATATACAGAAGTGCTCGTACGTACAACGCATAGAAGATATACAGTCCTCAAAGTATAACCACTACTGCTAAGATTTTTGAGCAGATTGATAGTTGTGTGTTTAAAGAAATAATAGAATATAATCGATGTTGATTGACATTTTTGGAGGGACAATGTTTGTCATCATCGTCATCATCTTTCTAGCCTCAGGATTTTTTTCAGTTAAATTAATTGTTGGTGATTTTTTATTTTTGATTTGAATAGTAGTTTGAATGTGATATAATAAGAAGTAAAAAAATTAATTACTACGTGACGAGCCTTGTATGTTGGGTATATTTGCAGGTGGAATTAATGTGGTGTATCAAGAGGCTACTGGATCCCAAGGGAATACTGAATCCATATAAAGTATTGCCTACTTCACTCTCATCTTGGTCAAAGTGATGGATGCAAACTCTGTTTGTACTTCTGCTTTATTAATTCAAATCAACTTATAATGGTGTCCCTCTCTGTAACATTTCTTGTAATTTATGATTGAATTATACTCCTCTCTTCTATTCAGAAAAGTGTATTACTAAAAATAATTATTATATAATAAAAATATTTATAAATTAATATTAAAAGATAACTAAATAGTTTAATTAAAATTAAAAAATTATAAAATATAAAATTCTAAATGTAATTAAAATATATATATATATAAAGACAAAGGATGTGGAACGGAATAGGGACAAAGAGAGTATGATTTTTTATTTTGTAAATGTTACTTAACGATTGCTTTGTTATAAAACCACCCGTTATATGGCTATAAATAATTTAAATAAATAAAAATTATATCAGTCATTCAATTTATGGTGTGATATATATATGTTCACAAGGCAAATACAAAAACAATTAAAAAAAAAAAATCTACAATAACATAAATGATTTCCATATTTTTAAGTGGCATTATTTTTAATAAACATTAATAAAAAGAAATATAATATATATATTCTTATTCAAAACACAAAGTATTGTTTTTAATATGAGAGTTACAATTTTCATGAAAAAAAAAAAAAAAAATGAATGCACCCAATATACATACGTAGTAGTCATATGTTCACTTGAACCTGGTTCATATTTGATACGATACCTACTACTACTACTGTTGGTGTTTCTTCTCCAAAACCCCATAATACATACTAATTGTACGTACTTCTTGTCTCTTCTCTTCTCTCTTCTCTGATCAATCTCGCAAGAATTTTGCGCTTAATTAAAATCAATCAAATCAAGCTCAAGCTCATGTGATGGGTGTGTCTCGAGCAGAAGACGACTACGATTATTTGTTCAAGATTGTATTGATTGGCGATTCCGGCGTCGGCAAATCCAATCTCCTCTCCAGATTCACCCGCAACGAGTTCACCTTGGAGTCTAAAGCTACCATCGGTGTTGAGTTCGCCACTCGCAGCATCCGCGTCCAAAATAAAGTCATCAAGGCCCAGATTTGGGACACCGCCGGTCAGGAGAGGTATATATATATCTATATGCCGTATCTGCTTTCTCTTCTATGTATGTTTGTTTCGTTGCGATTTAAGCTTAGATGATCTGATTATTTGTTTATATTCCTTTATTGATAATGATTGTATCGATTAACTTTGAAATTTACATCTCTTTGCATCTAATATTATGATTGATGAACGTACCTATTTTTTTAATTTCCGCTGATATATCCTGATAGAAGAAGAGATTCATTTGTTTTGCAAGTTTCTGTTGACTTCGAAATCTGAAGGTTGCCGATGCTTCAGAGGTGATTAGAAGAACATCATTCAGATCTCGTCTTATCTAAACATATAGCTGGAATGGAGTTTTCAGAAAAATCTAATCAGAGATTCATAATTGAGAAAGGGAAAATACAGGGCAGCAAAATTATCATTATTCTTCTATAGTGTTATAATTTTATCTGCAACAAATGTCTGAAATGATAAACTTTATATGCATCTTTGCTTTCTTTGAAATTACATCTTTTCTATACATTGATGATTTAAATTCAGGGATGACATTAATTTTACCTATTGGCTCTAGGTAATAAGGTTGTCAGATATTTGCAGACATCTCTAATTTGTCAACTATATGCTATGATGATTGAAAATGTAGATGGTCTTAGTTATACTACAACAGGTTTGAACATGGCTTGCCCAACCACAAAACCAGCTTTTCGGCAGCCAACTAAAAAAAACTTTTCTTTGTATTGGATTTTGTTTAGTAAATGGAATCTATTTGTTCATGGAAGGTTGATGTCCTCTGTTTCCTAGATTAGATTATTTACGGCATTCCTTTTGAAATGTTTATTATATATGATAACTTTGTCCTTTTTGCAGATATCGTGCAATCACAAGTGCCTACTACCGAGGAGCTGTTGGAGCATTGCTTGTCTATGATGTTACTCGCCGAGCTACATTTGAAAATGCTGAGAGATGGTTGAAAGAACTGAAAGAGCATACAGATTCAAGCATTGTTATCATGCTTGTTGGAAATAAGGCTGACTTGCGCCACTTGCGCGCTGTAACAATAGAAGATGCAAAAGAGTTTTCAGAAAAGGAAAACACTTTCTTCATGGAAACTTCTGCCCTGGAATCGACGAATGTGGAAAATGCCTTTACAGAAGTGCTTTGTCAGATACACAGTGCTATCAGCAAGAAGGCTCTTGAGACTGGTGGTAATCAGTCATCTGTACCGAAGGGACAGACCATTAATATTGGCTCTAAGGATGATGTCTCTGCCGTAAAGAAAGGCGGCTGCTGCTCTTCTTAAAATAGATTCACAAGAGAAAAGCAGTTTTATCACTTCTCTAACATGCCCTGATATTGCTTTTTTCTGTGATGTTAGATGAATTTTTGCATACACAATGATCACTTACAAAAGCTTAATTTCTGGTATAACATGGATATTGTCTAGATTCGACGGTATTCCTGATTGAAGGACTAGTTTTTTTGAATCAACACTATTCATTATTTTTCTCCTTGAGTTTCACTTCATACTTTTTGTATTATTCTTATCATCAAACCACAGGAACTAATTGCAGGATGTGATGTTTTTACTGCATTGCATACCATTTTAGACATGTATTTGAATTGTGATCCTTACATTTTAAGCTTTATTGATATATATTTGTAATTATATCTCTTGCACTTCAAAACTATGTTGATTCATATTTCCTTCCCTTGTTTTCATTTCACATGATCATTAGCCCTCATCACTTTATTGCCTCTAGTGCTTTCTGTTCATCTCTTCAAAGACAAGAAGACATTGTAGGAGAGGAATAGTCGATTTCTCTGGTTATCTAATCTAATGTCCTGTGAGCACAACATATATCGACTTGGTTTGCATTCTGTGTGGTAAAATGTTATTTATAGTGTTGACACCGGCACACATTGAGTTTTGTTATCAAATGTCTTTCTTTCAGTCATTCTTTCTACGTTGCTCTGCTATTGTTGCATTTTATCCTGATTTCGAATTCTTCTTTTGTTTATTCTTCGCACAGTTCGAGTTTCCTTCCAAGATTTCCACAGATGGAGAGGTAAGCACAATTTCTTCACCCTCTTAAATATTCCATGTAAGAATGCTTTATGTTTTGGTTGGGGGCATTTTGTTCGAATGCAATTTTCTTTTGGAAAGAAAACTCAGAATAGGCATATAGTAGCAATCAGGATAACTGATAGATGCAGAAGTATCTACTGCTGAAATTGGTAATATGTCGAATTCCAAAAAGATATAGATTCTTCTTCTGTAATATAGTTGATGCCGCGCTAACTTTGACACGAGTCCTCAAATCCCCCCTTGTGTGTTCAAAGTTATTCCTTTAGCTTTACATAGAGGGCAATTATTCTTCTTTGTCAGCCAGTTCTTGATGCATCGGGCATGATACTCATGCCGGCATTCAAGCTGCGCGATGTTGTCTTCTTCCTGGTACAAACATTCTTGGCACACCACACACATTTCATGCTCATCACTACTCTTTTTAGAAACTCTTGTTCTTAGATTTTTGGCGACAACCTCTTCCGACAGACGAATATTAGTCGAGGACATGGCCTCCCATGTCCCATCCTCGTTCATATACCACGACAATCCATCTTCTTCTTCTTCTTGTTCTAGAGTCATGTCCAAAGGATCCTCCCAATCAGCCAAATATGTCATAAGTTCCCCATCTTCTTCATTTCCCTCATCCCATCCCATTATAGGCTCGTCATTAGTTTCCATTACATCCATTATTGTCTCTCGATTTATTTCCAGTTCATCGATTAATGTTTCAGGAACATTGTACAAGCTCTGGTTCTGGTTGTCTTCTTCCGAGGTTGTCTGATCATCTGCCTCTTGTGTATGAATGTAAGATCGATGAAGACCGTCCGATAACTCCATGTATCTTGTAACAATGTCGTTGTGCCTGAAACTCGAATTTTCTGGAAGTTGAATATGTAAAAGGCTTTTATTATCTTGTTCACTCAAGTGTGCAGGAATACTGCAGCTTTGATGATCATCCCCTGGATCGATCATCGTCGAACAACCGTCCCGAGGAAAGTGTGAGCAGCAGATTCTAATTGAAGCAGAGGAAGAAGCCATGGATGGCCACTGTGATCAAGATGGTGATGCATCCTGAATCTGCTGCCATTGTAGGTGTGTATATTTATCTGTATATATATATATATATATATTTATGTATGTATGTATGTATGTATGTGTATATTTGCAATGGGGCCTGGAAATTCATTACGAAAAGTTGCTTGTTACAGTTAGGTAACAAATTCATGTCACCATGTGAGGTTCTAAATTCATGCAAAATGTAAAAACAAGTGAGGCACCAACAATTTATATGGTTCTAACTTGAATAGAAATATTTTTTTATATATATAAGATTTTAAATGAATACCATACATAGAATATAGTTTTTTAATATAATAATTTTTTTTTTTTTTTTTAAAAAAAGGGGTAGTCTAACTTGTCAACTGTTAAAATATGCATTTTGGCAAACCATCGTTCGTTCCTACATCAGCAAGCCAACAATTAGTTTACAAGTTGACAAGTACATATCTAAACTCTTCCATCATTTTACAGGTCGAAGGCGTACAAGAAACCCATTTCATATATATAAACCTAATTCATCTAAAGTGACACAAATTAACAATCAAGAAAGAAAAACAAAACCTCAGAAAATCCCCATGGCAGATTCTTGGAACCAAAACCCTCATGCAGAATATTATTTCTATACATACTACGACGTCAATTTTTCTCAAGATCTTCCTTACAACCCTTTTCATCAAACAATGTCCGAAACATCAAGATTCTGGTATTTTCATCAATCATGTCTGATTCCTTTCTACCCTCCTACATATCAGGGCTTTTCTTATTACAATGGCAATGATCATCACGGATACGAAAACCCTAATCCAGAGAGTTTCCTGGGGTTTGTGTTCTTCCATCAAATTTACGATGATCAAATGACACATAATCATGGTTTCTACAACGGTCATGGCCACATGCATTATCAAGAAGAGCCTAGAAATGAAACAAGTGACGACAACCAATGGATCGACCATTCTTCTGATCATGGGAGTGTGGAAGACAATGCTGTCGATATTTTGTATGCGCTCGATGAAGATGGAGTGTGGGAGGACTTTGTGCTCGATAGCCCATTTTCGTCGGAGGAAGTCATTGCAAAAAGACTTCAGACAAGAATTTGTGATGTGAACATCGACGAAAACAAAATATGTGTGGTCTGCCAGGATTGTTTGTTTCAGAAGGAAGATGACGAGATAGCGATACTCGATTGCCGGCACGAGTACCATGTTCATTGCGCCAAGAAATGGTTGTTGCACAAGAATTGCTGCCCCCTTTGTAATTCTATAGGGATAAGGCTGTAAATGAATCAAATAATTTGGTTCGATTCGATATTCGATTCGAAATTTTGATATTCATATTTGAAAATATAGGATTCAAATTTGAATAAAAATATTAGATTCGATTCAAATAAGAATCAAATACAAATATAAAATTTAATATTCGAATTTGTTATTCGTAAATATTCGATTCGATAATAAAATATATATATATATATATAAATAGTATAAAATAATATTATAAAATTGATGTTTCGATTCTATATGATTTGTCTTTTCATGTTTGATCGGATTTCGGATTTTTTGCCATATATATTGCAAACTTATTATTACAAAATACTCCCTCCCTCCACGTATACATTTAGTTTTGGCGCGGTGTTTATGAAATAATAGTATTTTAATTATAGTGGGTAGTTAAAAGTAGTGTAATGACATATTTGCCTTTGCTTTTTGGTATAAAAGTAATGATGTGATATAAAGTAAAGGTATTTGTGAAAAAAAGTGAAGTATTTAATGAAATGTTAAATGTGTATACTTTTTAGTTGGAGGGAGTAGTATTTAAGTTGCTTCCCAAATTATTCGGTAGTTTATGCAACTTGACTTTCTATAAAGGTGAAGACGGTATACTCAACCTCAATAGTAGACCATGAATTGCTTCTTTAATTACTATACTATGATGATACTTGATCCAAGTAGAGTAGAAAACAATTACCATTGTCTTTTAGGAATTACTGAAAAAATAAAAAATAAATTTTTTTAAAAAATAGATGAGACATTTGCTGAAAAAGTATATGTTGGGAAGAAATAGGTAACGGACCAAATCACTTTCGAACTTCTATTCAAGACCAACTCTCGAAGGATAGTTATATCACAGTTGTAATACTCTACTGTCAACTGAATGTATGCGGAAAATACAAAGCAGTAAATGAGACAAGGGTTTGTTTACTCGGTTCGGATTTAAACAATCCTACATCCGGGGATACCAATCCAAGAAAAGTTTACTGCTGATTAAGAACAAAGACAACCACAACTCTTTCAACTCATCCTTCTAACATGGTTTACCTTGAAAATTCCCTCCATAAGTTTATGTTGTCACAAACTCGTGATGACAACAACCACAGAGTAGAGCTGCTCAAAATCTGGACGCCTCCTCTGATTGGAACTCCAATTTCTTCTTCCTCCGACGAGGTCTCCGGCAAGATAAAAGTGTCTGACACTCACTCGATACATGGAGAAGAGAATAGTTGAGGTTAAAGGGTTTAATTCACTTTTTCTCTCACTACACACACTCTCAAAATTACCATAACTACACTATCTCCACACAATTATCTATAAAGCTATCTTGCTTTGCATGTAAGACAAAATCAATTAAAACACTTTGCATATAAATGGAATGATGTATTCCTGCATAATTTTGATGCAATTTGACTATCCAAAACATCCATTTCTTTATCTTGTATGCTCACTTTGCATATAAATGGAATGATGTATTCCTGCATAATTTTGATGCAATTTGACTATCCAAAACATCCATTTCTTTATCTTGTATGCTCACTTTGCATATAAATGGAATGATGTATTCCTGCATAATTTTGATGCAATTTGACTATCCAAAACATCCATTTCTTTATCTTGTATGCTCACCAATCGAAAAAGTTTAAGACAAACAATATTGTTATCAGTATGTTACAACAATTTGATAAGACAAATTACTCCAAATTGAAAACAGTAAAAAATTAGGAAAGCATAAAGACCATATGTCAAGGGTTCCAACCGTATATGTTCTTTTGGGCATAAAGAGCATATGTCAAGGGTTCCAACCGTATATGTTCTTTTGGGAATTAGTTTTTATTTTATGCAAAAGTCTTTCTTCTCTTTAGTATTGAAATCAATAAATTATAGGGTGTGTTTGTTTGGGATATTGGATTTCGAGTTGGGATTTAAATAGTAAAAATTTTGAATTTGAATAGTTGTACGATGTAATATAAATGAGGATTGATGTAATATTTTGAATATAAAATTGATTTTTAGTATAATATAAAAAATAAAAAATAAATATTTAATTTAATAATTTTTGAAAAAAATTTAGTAAACAATAAAAATCCATGAAAATCTTCCAAACACACACACCCTGACTAAATCTTCAAAATACCTCCAACAACTTTTTTTACTTGTATCACATTTTCTATAAAATAGTATTTATTTTTCTTAATTTTTCATATAGTGTTCTAATCTAATGAGCATATTAATAGAAAAAGTATATTGAAATATCATATATTGTCTGTTTTTTACTCCCTCCCTCTCATATGTATTATTTTTTTTAAAATATTAATATTATATTAAAATTTAGCATTTATGTAAATAAATATTTTGTCATGACACAGACAAAAATAGGATCGGCGGCTACCGACTTAAGCCAAGATATTGTATCTTATTCATTAATTGTGCCTATGATTTGATACCTATTTTATTTAATGCATTTTCACTTTTTTTTTTTTTTCCTTGCCTAAATTCTTCATTTTCAATTAGAGTCTATAGTAGACAATGTAAGGTTTGTTTGGTTAGTGTTCTGATTTGATTTTTATTTTTTTAAATAGGTACAGAGAATAATGTCTGTAATATAAAAAATTAATAAAAAAAAAATCATATTTTATATCCCATTTGATTTGACGTTTAAAAATGAATTTTTGGTTTATACTTTATTTTTTAAAAAAATACTTTATGTCTATTTAAATTTATATTTATCTAAAATTATATGCAATTTTTTTAGGTCAATAGCACTACTTTTTATTTTAATTGTACTGAGAGTTTAATTTTTGACTTCTAATGACTTTGAAAACTATATTTTCAACTTCAATAATGTTGAAAATCTTTTGTATTGCTTTTAATTTCATTGAGAGTCTTGTTTTCGGCTACAGTGATTTTGATAGTTACGGCTTATGACACTTACTTTATTGAGAGTTTTATTTATGATTTTAACAATATATATTATAACTATCATATTTGTTTTATTTGAGATATTTATAAAATTTTTAATTTATTCAGGCAATTTATATATCACTCAAAAAAAATATTTTTTTAATTGAAATAGAGATTTTCAATTTAATATTTTAATATTTTTTTATTAAATATCACATCTAATTTGTTTTTAAACTAAAAAATTAAAACCAAACTTGAAACAAATATGGTATTTAATGTAAAGATAGCATTTCAATCTTATTTATTAAAAAATAAAAAATAAAAAAAATCATATACCAAACTCAAAATATCAACAAGAAATTAACAAGATTAGTTACAAGTACACGCAATGATATGTATTGATTACATGCTACCAACCCATACAGTCTTAAAATTTCTTTACTTATACGATTTGATTTTTAATTTTACTGTTTTTAATTTTATTTTTTTTAAAATATCAAATCAAAAGTCTATTTTATTTATTTATTATATTACATTAAATTAATTTTTACTTTCAAAATATAAAATTAATATATATATTTATATTAAATCAAACAATTATTTTAATTTAAAATTTTATTATTGAAAGTCAAAATTCAAAACTAAAATTTTACAAATAAACATCAAACTATCATTATCATATCAAATGTTTGAAGTTTTTTTCTTTTTTTTACTTCCTTAATCCTACTTCTATTCTTGTAAAATATTTTGTACTAAAATCAAGAAAAATAAATAAAATAACAAGTATTCGATTTAATTGGTTGAATGTGTAAAACGTGAGAATTAGCGGTGAAATTGCACTTATATTTGAATCTACATGTGTGATCTGTCTGCGTGTTGGGTTTCCCGATGAGATTAATTAATTCAACATAGATCACATGCACATGCCTGCCGAATCCATAAGAATCTGCAGTGCTGTGCTGGTAATAATCATTCCTCTTAATCTTACTTACTTTTGTATAATTATGATTATAGATGCAAAATTAGATAATCGATCCATAACCTAATTTTAATTAATTAAAAATTGAGTGTGCTTCTGGAAATCTTTGCTCACCAAATTTCAACATTTACGGCTACAAATACCACTGTGTCCAATCCCAATCCCAATCCACAATCCCAATTCCAATCCCAATCCCATCGTCATCGTCGTCGTGCGGCACTGAACATGGACAAAGTTCATTTCCGAACTCAGGTCCTAGCTCGCCATCTCCGAGACCAAAACATTGCCACCGCCACCGCCGCCGTATCACGGTCGCCATGCCTCAGCTATGCGCCGCCGGAGGTTTCGGAGTCCGCCTTCTCATTCGACGTGAATTCGATGCGGAAATTGTTGGACGGCCACAATTTGGAGGACAGGGACTGGCTGTTCAATCTCCTTTTGCAGAGCAAGCTTTTCAATCCTAAAATGAGGGGCGGGAAAGTGTTCGTGGTGCCGGATTATAACCAGTCGATGGAGCAGCAGAGGGAGATCACCATGAAGAGGATTCAGTATATGCTGGATCACGGGGTGTTCGAGGGTTGGCTCACCGGTAAGGGCTTTGAAGATGAGATGAGAAAGCTTGCCCTATTGGAGGTTATTCAGGTTTTCGATCACTCCCTCGCAATTAAAGTCGGCGTCCACTTCTTTTTATGGTACACTTTTTTCTCTCGTCTTATTGTTCCTGTTTTTGGTAAATTTTGAGATATGTTCTTGCAAGAATTTTCGAATTTTGGACTATTTGGGACCAGAACGAAAACATAGGCATCTTATGTACAGTCGTGTTATACTTATGTCTTGAACTATAAAGGGATGTTCTTTTTGTAGATATAGATTGAGATAAAATTTGTGATGGTAGTATGAAAACAAAGTCGAAAATATAAGGATATGATTCTGTTGGGTAAAATGTAGAATACTTGGATTTGGACCTGTTGAGAGCCCATGTTTGTTGCTTGAGGAATGCCCTAATTTGGATTGTGGTTGACTCATTCATAGCTATCCCTTAAGTTTGGTTGAAAATTCTTTTCGGGTTAGGAATGTTCATTCTTGTTTAGATGGCTTGGTTAAAAAGCTTTCTCTTTACTAGTAGCTATGGTGCTATAGATGTCTTGTGGATCTCTTTTTTTTTTTTTCTTGATGAACTCTTTATCTTTGTGTGTCTTTTAATTCGATGATGGATAGTTGACGTGATTCAATGATTCAGGGGTGGTGCCCTCCAGTTCTTTGGCACAAAACGGCATCATGATAAGTGGTTGAAGGCAACTGAAAACTACCATATGAAAGGGTGTTTTGCAATGACAGAGTTGGGTCATGGAAGTAACGTATGTCTAAACTGGTTAATCGGATATGCTCTATTCTGCATTTTGTTGATTTGATGATATTTTAATGAAGACATTTGGGTATATGCTTTACAGGTTAGAGGTATTGAAACAGTGACTACTTATGATTCGAAGACAGGAGAGTTTGTGATCAACACTCCTTGTGAATCAGCTCAGAAGTACTGGATCGGAGGTTCAGCTAATGTAATGATTTCTTGATTCGAAATTTGGCTTTCGTGAATCCTGGGCATGATAGTTTTCCTTTACTCAATTAGTCTGAAGATTATTTCTAGCATTCCTAATACCTACATGTACTTTTCTTGCATAATTTCACAGCATGCCACACATACGGTGGTCTTTTCACAGCTTGAAATTGATGGAAAGAACGAAGGTGTCCATGCTTTTATCACCCAGATAAGGGATGGGGATGGAAATATCTGTCCCAATGTTCGAGTCGCAGATTGTGGTCATAAAATTGGTCTAAATGGTGTAGACAACGGTCGAATTTGGTAGGACAAGCCCCTGATAAATTCTAATAGAAAAGTTTATGTTTAGCTATCTAAACTGGTAAAATCTGGATTTCTTGTCATCTCTACCATCCAGGTTTGACAATGTCCGGATACCTCGTGAGAATTTGTTGAACTCAGTTGCTGATGTTTCTCCTGATGGAAAATATCTCAGCGCAATAAAGAACCCGGATCAGGTTTATATGTCAGTTTCATTGCAGATATGTTAAACAAGCCATTTGAAAGCAGATTCATTTATTAATCTTTTAGTTGATCATCCATTTGACTTTTTGTGTTTGTGTAAGTTTTTTCGAAATGGAAATGACACATGGTTTTCTTTCAGCGATTTGCAGCATTTATGGCTCCTTTGACATCTGGGCGTATCACCATTGCTGTTAGCGCTGTTTACTCAGCCAAGGTTGCGCCATTAAGAGTTTGCTTGCCTATCGTATTTATATGTTTTGAAATTTCTTAATGAGCGTGGTTTCTTTGTTTTCTTTGAACAGATTGGCTTAGCTATTGCCATACGATATTCTTTGACAAGGAGAGCATTTTCGATTGCACCAAATAGCCCTGAAGTTCTTTTGCTTGATTACCCGAGCCATCAGCGCCGCCTTTTTTCTCTTCTTGCAAAGACGTTAGCATTCTGACTGCACATTACTTTGTAATTATATATATTTGCTATTACTCATTTCACACTTTACTTTGATTATACCTCAGTATCGACACTATATATAAGCTGCAGACTTCCATAACTTGAATCATCGTTGAATGCAATTCTTTTGTTATTTTCTACCTAACATCTGCTTTCACCTGCTGCAGTTATGCTATGAGCTTTGCTGCAAACTATCTGAAACTGCTGTACGTTAGAAGGACACCGCAGTTAATCAAAACAATACATGTGGTTTCGAGCGCCTTCAAGGCCATTCTTACATGGCATAACATGCAAACTCTTCAGGTTTCCAAGACAGTCCCCGGCTCTTATAAGGGACATTTTATTTACGTAAGAAATATCTGCACTTACGCCTGCTGGTCATTTTGTCTAGGAATGCCGTGAGGCCTGCGGAGGGCAAGGATTAAAGACCGAAAATCGTATTGGTCAGCTAAAGGCTGAATTCGATGTGCAATCCACATTTGAGGGAGACAACAATGTTCTCATGCAACAGGTATTTTCGATTTATCAGCATTCATGATAATATTGAAACAGAATCCCAAAAGATAGAATCTCAGAGTAGTGTATGGTTATTAATTTAGGTTAGCAAAGCCCTGTTCGGAGAGTATTTGGCGGCAAAAAGGACCAACAAGCCATTTAAAGAATTGGGACTCGAACACATGAATACCCGGATCCCCACAATTCCCACACAGCTTTCGGGTTCCACTGCCCGCAGTGCGGAGTTTCAGGTATAGATATAGCTGTAATCAATTATTACGACATCTTGAGGTCTTGAACTGTTTCTTTTCGACAGAACAATATCTTCTGCCTGCGAGAAAGAGATCTCTTAACTCGCTTTGCAGCTCAAGTCGCGGCACTCCAAGCTCAGGGAGAAACCAAAGAGTCTGCCTTTACCAAGGTAACTACACATTTACAAATATAGATTCTTGATGAAAAACCATAGCTTGATTCATTACTATTTTCCTCTCGCAGAGTTATCAGCTCGCGGAAGATTTAAGCCGGGCATTTGCTGATCGTGCAATTTTCCAGTCTTTCGTGGAAGCAGAAAATCGAGTAGCAGATGCTTCCTTAAAGGTACTTTCTTACCTTATTCACTATGAACATTCATGGGTGTGATCGAAACTAAACTCGTTTGCCTCTTGATCTCTGCTTTGATGCTCTGAGTTACTTGTTTTAGAACAAATTTGTGTACATTATGTAGGATGTGTTGAGCCTGGTGAGATCAATGTATGGTTTGGTTATAATGGACGAAGATGCTGCATTTCTTCGATATGGTTACTTAACAACGGAAAATGCTGCAACGGTGAGGAAGGAAGTCGCTAACCTGTGCAGTGAACTTAGGCCTCATGCACTTGCCTTGGTCAGTTCCTTGGGCATTCCCGATGCTTTTCTGAGCCCTATTGCTTTCGATTGGATCGCGGCAAACACTTGGTCTGATTGATGGCCAAATATAGTCTCTCTATCCTTGAACAATAATTCGATCCTTTTGGACTGCATTGTTACCACATTGTAATAATCCTGCTATATACATGTCTGCGTATGTAGTATGGGGCCTTAAAAGAAATAAACCTGCAGATTATGATTGTTTTCAAGTATTGTGTGAGGATGTGTGTAATTTTGATGTCCGTTGGATCAATTTTCGTCGATGTGTAGATCGATTGGTTATATGGACAGCTGCTGAGAGGCACTACCAAACTATTTAACCAAGAAATCAAAGAATTGTTCAGATGGATTGTACATTGTCCTAAATTTGATGTTATGCAGGGATGACTCAGTCCTCTTTGTGGTCAGATCCTTTCGAGTTAAAAATACCTGTTAGGGCCCGTTGTCCTATGATAAGCTGCTCTAACTCTGCCTGTCTGAGTTTGAGCTGCAAGACTTCCTGGGCTAATTCGTCATCTCTTTGCTTCATTGCCTGACACAGATGGAGAAAAGTAAGCGCTAAATGTCGAGCCTTAAGAAAATGACGAGCCTCCGGTTCCAATTTGAGAGAATTTGTGAGGATGAACTGACCTCTAATTCCTGTTTGCGGAGCTCCTCTTTCCGGGCTTCTGATCTGGCGCTTCTTTGGACCTCAAAGATCACAGCACCACCAGCAACCTAAAAGGAAAAGATAGATACCAGCGTATGTAAGCAAGTATATAGATATAGAAACTAAATTGCCAGAACACCGAGCAAAGAGAGCATCGCCAAAATGAGAAACAATATTGAGTGAAGAGAAACAGCAAAGGCCAAGGGGGATATGCATTTTCTTGGACATTCTGCATCTGGATGTCCACAAACAAAAAACCATTCAACGTTTTACAGTGATCAAGAAAAAATTGAGGCTGCCAACCTCAGGGCATTGTTTAGAAAAAAATTGTTTGTGTATATAAGGCGAATGAACTCAAGTAAGCCACCTTTTAAAAAAGGAAGGATATTGTTTGCAGAAGTGAAATCTATGAAGTTATTTATGTTGTCAAATGACAAAATATGTAAGAACCGCTAATGTGGACATAAATGTGTAGTTTCGGATGCGTACCGAGAAAACAAAGAGTTCTCCTAGAAGGTCTGCAGCAGCTTGAACAGCCTTTTCTTCATTTAGAGGACGAATTGCAACATCAGTTGCCCGACCATATATACGTCTTTGCAAAGTTGTGGTGAACCTATGATTTGCCTGCAAAAAAAAGTTCAACGTTCTAAACTCATTAGTTACAAATTCTCAATGCAAATACAACAATAAGACATAACAAACTTATTAATGATCGTTGTCCAAAAGAGAAGAATTATGTTTGAAAGTAGAGTAGTATTGATTCCTTATTAGAATCTAAATCAGCATAATGTATTGAATAGTAATGTTCTTGGTGTTCAACTGAATGATCTAGGCACATTCGCTGAACCACATCAAAACCTTCAGATTGTTTGCTATACAAACTACAGACGGTATATAGCATCATGCATATATAGGATACACAAATTATGAAATATAATCAAACAACAAACAAAGTAGATTTAGATTTTTTATTTTCAAGCTATTCATATATATTTTTTAGCTCTTCAAAACTGAAAAATAAGCAGGGTGCTATGTTCTGTCCAAAGTTTCAAAACCAGGCTAGGTGTTAACCCTTCAGAATTCACGAATCTGTGAATGATTTCATACAAAACCAAACCAATGCAACCTTACCAGCGTTCAGTTGGAGTTGAGTCAAATTGATCTATAGCAAAAATGACGCCTCATAATAAAATGAATAATGAAAGGAATGTTCAAAGATAAACTGCAAGCAAAGTAAACAGCGGATTTCTGAATTAAACTGGTAGGCAATGAATTGAGCAGAGCATGACAGACAACAAATACAAATCACATTGCAATATTGAAAAATAAACTCGAGATCAAACAATTCATCTTGATAGAATCATCCATGATATATGATCCGTCCATTCAAACAAACAATTCCTCTTCTGATTTAGCTCGTAGGGAAAAGCGAAATCAACAGAAATCAAGCTTACAAAAAATATCAGGGAAAAGAATCATAACCTGCGCGATGTTTATGATTGATTGTCTGAACCTGGGGTGGAAGCCAGCCTCTTTCTTTATACGATTCCCGATCGGCTTGGCAAATGTTTTCAGCGCAAGTGTGCCAAGCTTAAATAACGGTAATACCATTCCTTCAGTTCAGTGCAGCTACTCACTGCCTTGATTCTCGCAAGAACAACAAAATTGTGAATTGTGATTTACCGATGGAGGAATGTCACCGGCTCATTAGAAGTTCGTTTCTGAAAAAAAAATGATAAGGGTTTCTAACTTTACAGTATCCATATAAACATTTTCCTTCCAATTGTCTTTGGTAATATTTTCCTTCCATTTTTCTTTGGTTAGAAAATACTGACATTATATATAGTGATAAAGTATATGTTAATAATAAAATAATAATAATAATAATAATAATTTTATGATAATATAAATATTTTTAAAAAATAACACTATTTTTTTTAAATTGAAGAAACATAATTTTTTATTAAAAAACATACTATCTCAATTTAAAGCAATAATTTACTATTTTTATTTGTCCTTTTTAGTAATTTTTTTTTATTATTATTGTAAAAAGAGTAATACTAATACATTAGTATTAAAATAAACGTTAATTTTTTTTAAAAAAAATAATAGAAGAAGTATTTATTTTTACACTATGCTCAAAGACAATGACAAATGCACTTATAAATTAGTGGACAATGATAGTTATATCACAATTAAAAAAAAATTACTGTCCCGTTTAAAGTATGAAATGATATTATTATCCAATTGGTTAAAAAAAATAATGTTGGATTTAAAATTCAAAATATTACTATTATTATCAATTAATTAAAATTCAATTCATTTAAAATAATTAATTGATTTTTAAAACAAAAATATAATGATATTATCTGTAAAAATGAGATATGATATATTTTATTATTTTTTATGTATTAGCAATATTGTTAATTTTAAAATAAATTATATATATAATTAAGAAAATTAAAAATATGGATACATTTTTAAATAATAAAATTTTATATAATATAAATAAATATAAAAAAAACACTATTTATTTATTTATAATTAATATAAACAACTAATTTATAAAAAAAAAAATAAAGAAATTGTAAATTTAAATAAAAATATTTATTTTTTGAAAATATATTTTAATTTAATACATTTTATCTCAAGTAAATAAAATGTTGATTAAAATGAACCATTTCGGTTTTAAAAATGCAAGTGCAAGTCCCCTTCAAAGCAAATTCTGCATTGAAAAAAAATTAGAAAATAGACATCATCCCCTCTCCAAAACCCTAATAATGACTTTTGAGTACTGACCTCTTCCCCAAGTTTGCTCGCTCTCTAAAACCCTGTCCGTTTTATACGCCTTCTCCATATCTCCTTCAAAGATCGTATTCTTATTCGTTCTCTACTGATTGAGGTACGCCATGGACTTTGCTCATCACCATTTCCGGTCGTTCTTTCTCTGCGCGCGATTCATTTCGATTCGTTTTTGTGCGATTTTATAGTGATGCGATTAAATGCTTGAATCGGCCTGCAAGTTTAATAGTCTGATTCGGAGCCTACAGTGTTCGTGTATTCATGTTTTGAGTTCATTATGAAAGGTGTATCTAGTTTAATCTCATTTTTGCTCGGTGGGTTTATGGGGGCGGCTTCAACTACGCTGTTTCTGACTGGGAATCTTATATGTGCCTTCTTTATTTTCAAATTTATTTTATTTTTTGCATCTACAGGATTCGGATAATATTCATTGCTTGTAATTCATTTAGTTGCTTTTTATTTGCCAGTTTCTGATTTATTTTATATTTTATTTGTTTGTAATGAGAGAAACTGCTTCGAATTTCTTCCCCTGCTTGATAAATTAAAACATAAACAATATGATAGAATCCATGATTTATAAAATTTTCTAATTTGCAGTTGCTTAAAAGATGAACCTAAACAATGTCAACATTCCCAAAATGCCTGGTGGTGCGGCCTCTGCCTTAATCAAGTTGGGAGTCGTTGCAGGTCTTGGTGTGTATGGAATATCTAACAGCCTCTACAATGTTGATGGAGGCCACCGAGCCATTGTTTTCAACCGTCTTGTTGGGATCAAAGACAAGGTTCTTGCAACTCATTATCTCTATTATTTGAATTTGATATTTCTATTCACCGAAACTCTCCAATTTATAATTTCAATATTCCCAGCTGCTTGTTGAAGTTCTGTTTTTTCTTCTTTTTGGTGTTTGGTGTACTGGTGATAAAATATTGTGTTGTAGTTAGTATGGGATGTTACTTAATGCTTGTCAATTACGAATAAGAAGCATGTTTACATAATATTATGGTAATGTAGTTATTTGGACATGCCCAGGGTCATTTGAGAAGCTGTCCATAGCCCAAGTAAATACATCTATAGTATTAATATAAATGTTTATATATGGGTCTAGAATATATAAGTTCATATGTATATAATATTATATATAAAATATTTATTTATAAATCAATCCCTATATTTCTTCTAGATATATATATGGTTTCCCCTTTTTGTTTTGTTTTAGCAGATTGAAAATTATTCATTGAACTGTATGAAATCAAATAATGTAATAGTATGCTTATTATTTTATTCCAAAAAATAAAATTTGAAATGAAACAAAATTAAGAGATTGCCGTATTGTCTTCCCATTGATATTGATAATAAATAATAATAATGATTTTGCATTTACAAATACACAGATTTTTTTTTTTTTTTTTTTTTTTTATTTTATAGGCAAAAGTAAAGAAGTTGCTTATTTTATTATTATTATTTTTTTCTAGGTGTATCCTGAAGGGACACACATCATGATCCCATGGTTTGAAAGGCCAGTTATTTATGATGTCCGAGCTCGACCTCATCTTGTGGAGAGCACTTCTGGCAGTCGAGACCTTCAGATGGTAAACATCTCTCTAATGTTCCCCTTCCCACCCCACGACCCCTGCATCTCCACTCATTTACTTTTTGTGATTGGTCACTTACAATTTGGTGATACTGCAGTTGTATATATTTCTATTAGTACTTGGTATTATATAGGGCGCTGTAACTTCCTTTCCTAGATATAGAGTAACAAAGATTTTGCTGAAATTGGAATGATGTAACTTTTTGTCCATTTTATAATATGACTTTTAGACTGGTAGATGCTCTATAATATATTTTGTCAACGAGGAGAACAAGAGGCGTATATTTCTATCAAATTTTACAATTGATTGAGTGAAGTATATATAATCACTATAGGCACATTTAAGAATAAATTAAAGAACCTAGTCTAGGTTCAATGAATCATGTATTTTTTTTTAAGATGCAAATACTCTATTTTATACTAGAATATATTCTATTATTTAAGGTGCACATATTCTATTTTATACTAAAATGTATTCACATATTTGAAATTGCTTAACTCATTTATATCCTTTAGCAGATTTTATTTGGTCTTAAATATAAGGATCCAGACCACTGTGCATTATAATTACTGCTTTTTGGGGCTTATTTCTCTTTGAATGAATGTGCATTGTTGCACTTCTCAGAATTGTGATTGAAATGATTTATCTAATCTATGCAGGTTAGAATAGGTCTTCGAGTTCTCACACGACCTGTCCCAGATCAGTTGCCCACTATTTATCGCACCCTTGGTGAAAACTACAATGAGAGAGTTCTGCCTTCAATAATTCATGAGACTTTGAAAGCGGTGGTTGCTCAATACAATGCTAGCCAACTGATCACACAAAGAGAGGTAAGGACAGCTTCTGTTTATTGTCCACCTATTTTAGTGATTTAAATTGTGGGTCTTGGAAATGATTATGAAGAGATCATGATTTCATTTTATATTTTTACATAGTAGTTCACTTTTTGGATAAAAACACATCGGGTTTAATCATTTAATTATACTTCTCACGTTATTCTTGTATGATTGTATCATACAAAACAGGATATTGCACTGAATGCAACCTGAAATGATGGATACAGTAAGACAAGTGTGTTGATTTATATCAAATAATTTGAACTTTTGAGTGTGATATATGCAACTCACAAGCCTGAAGTACATTGGTAGCTACCACCGGATTCAGTGAAGAAGATATTGTGTTGCTTTAGATTGAGATGAAATGTGAAAAATATTTGTAATGATGTATTTGCCATAATTTTGATGAATGCAGAATGTCAGTAGGGAAATACGGAAAATATTGACCGAGAGAGCTGCCTTCTTTAATATTGCATTAGATGATGTGTCAATTACCAGCCTCACATTTGGGAAGGAGTTCACTGCAGCAATTGAAGCTAAACAGGTAGCAGCGCAAGAAGCTGAGAGAGCCAAATTTGTAGTTGAAAAGGCCGAGCAAGACAAACAAAGTGCTATCATAAGAGCCCAGGTAAGATAGTGGCTACTTGATGATGTCTATGCTGTCCAATTATCTTCTGTTATGACTTTATTCTGCAATTTTTATTTGGTTTGCAGTGTTAACTGTAGCACAAGTGTGCTTAAACATTGTTGTTATTATGCTTTAATGTAAGTATCATTTAATCGACAGGGTGAGGCTAAGAGTGCCCAGCTGATTGGTCAAGCCATTGCCAACAATCCGGCCTTTATTACACTCAGGAGGATTGAAGCATCCAGAGAAATTTCGCACACAGTGGCTGCATCGAACAACAAGGTGTATTTGAACTCTGATGAGCTGTTGCTAAACCTTCAGGATCTGAACTCAGAGCAGGTTGGGAAGAGGTAAGACTCACCATTTCAATTTTTTTTCTCTTCGGTGATATGATATACACAATTGATATATAAAAATGCTGCCCGCTCAACTGGGTGTTATTTAATCGTTGAGGCACATTACATGATTTACATTAATCATTCAATGATTCAGCTATGCCCTTTGGTTGTTTTCACAAATGTTTGTGTGTGTGTGTCAATCATCTTTGTTTTTGCTTTGTTCGGACATGTGTTTCTGTGTTAATACAAACTTGCTTTGAGCATGCATATGCTATTCCAAATTCTTTGTGCTTCTCTCTCAAGTTATCTTAGTAATGACTCGGTTCATACCATATTATTATTTAATCCCTCCGTCCTATGTTTCATGTCATAGTTTTTGTTTCTATCTGTTCCGCTTTAATCATATTTTAAAATTTTAAATTTATAATTATTCTAATTAGTTATTTTAATTTTAATCTATAATTATTTTTACTAATATATTTTTAATTATTTATTAATTGCATCATTTCTAAATTTTGGTGTCAGTAATTGTAATTATTTTAATTTTAATATGTAATTATTTTTGCTAGATCAACTCTAGTCACCGAAAATTTAGGTTATCTTTTATCTTCCGTTGGACCATTTACTTTTATTATTATGTGACACCTGCATCCCTTAAATCTGATTGTATATCCTGCAATAAAATCTTTAATGGAATGGAATGGATTGCTTGGATTTCGAATTCTATTTGGTCGATGATGATCTAACTTTATTCATTTTCTTCCTATGCATATTAAGTTTTTCTTTCGCTGGTTTACCACTGTTGTATTTTTAATGTCGGAATATGAAATTGAAATTTCTTCCAATGCGAATATCTATATATAGATATCTTTTTAATATTTACGTTTCTACTGTGACAAAAATCTGGGATCTCAAGGGTTTAAGGTGTTTGGTTATGTTTTCTGGTTTTGATTTATGATTTCAATTGTAATTGTGATACGGTATATAATATTTTTACAAAAAATTACAATGATTATATAGTAAAAAGATTGAAATCAAATTCTTACTCGGTAATGGGTCCTTCAGTAACTCATCAGAGAGCCTTCAAAAATAATTTTGAATCACTAACAATGAAGAATGTAACACAAAATAAATTAAAGGAGATACTTGAGTGGCAATTAATCTGGCAACCAATATTAATTTTTGTATGATTGCAAATATATATATATATATATTTCAAATCCATGTGAATCTTGGTCTTGGTCTTGCAATTGGTAAATGAATAGATACATCACCATCTGATTAGGCACTATCAAATTTACCTTGAATTTAGTGGTATGTAGTGGAAAGTGGACCCTTTGTTTTGAAGACCTATGGCTATGGCTAGGATATATAGCCTTTTCACATGCTTTAATCTTTATAATTTCCTTGTATGCATGAGATCTTTTCTTTTCTTCCAAATCTTTAGAGACTGATTATAACATTAAATGGAACATCAGTTCCAATATATAGCATAGCAGATATAGGGTTGGCTTTAGTTTAAAGTTCTTAATTAGCAGCTAAGGCCAAAAAAATTTACTCAGACATGCATATGAATGAAAGAAAATGTACCATAGAAAAACTTCCCCAACATTTCCGAATTGCCTGTTTTTGTTCAAACTGGAATTCTTTACTAAAAGCTCCCAAGATTCCGAATCCATCTAAAACTGTTTCGGAATTTCTGAAATTTTATTATGTATTATTTTATTTGATGAATAAGGCTTTGAGTATTTGGAGACCAGTAGAATAATGAATGGATAATAAAATGGTTTAGAAATTTCTAAAATTTTATTATATAGATATATTATTTTATTTAATTAAAAAGTTCAAAAAAATTCCAAATATATCAAATGATTAAGTTAGTATCGGCAGTTTTCAAATTCAATTTAAACAATTTAAATAATTATTTTTTATATATAGTAATATCATTATTTATTTTATAATAATATACTAATACTTCATCCCTCCCGTTTGGATCGATGCGTTTGATTAATGATATCATATTCCTTTGTTTTTTTATGTGAACAATAATGTTGTTGTAGTTTGAAATTATGATAGAATAATAATAATAATAATCATAATCATAGCTAGTCTAGAGATTACCAGAGTCTAGTCCTGTTGGGCCCAAGTCCAATAGCTGGGCGGGGCGGCCTTGAAGTGGGCCTTGAGCAGTCTCAACCCTACCTATTTTAATTTGGGCCTATGAATTGAAAATAGCCCGTAAAATTTTACTATTGTTTTGTACGTAGTCTTGGTTGAATAAAAAACATTTTGATTCTTAATGGACAATTATTCTCTTATTCAATTATCTTTATTTGTGCAAGAGCATCATATATATATATATATATATATATTGACTATGTACTTATAATTAGGATTAACCAAAATCAAATATCAAGTTAAGATGATTTCTGATTTATAACAGATCATAATTAACCAAAGAAGTAAATAAAAGAAAGAATGCCAATAGCAACTTCCAGCCTACAAAAAAACTAATAGTAAAATTAGCAAGTAGATGTTATGGATAGAATGACCAATAAATAACAATAATAATAATAATAATAATAATAATAATAATAATAATAATAATAATAATACATGGAGGGTGAGTGGCACTTTACTTTGGTAAAAGGAACATTTCAGCATTATCTTTTACAAATAATATATCATCATGTTTTTTGAGTGAGTGATGATTGCATTATCATTATATATATACATATATATCTAATGTTGACTGGTCAGATGTTATTCATATATATATATATATATTATAAAGAAATAACTTTAGACTAATCATCAAAGTTATATTATGCGGTTTTATTTTTATTTTTATTTTTTTTAATAACGTAAAAATTCGCAGTCGGTCGCACTTAGCCCTATACCACAAAGTCATTCATGATCACAAATAACAGAAATGACCACAATGTTAGAATTTGAAGTTATGACCAACTCGACCACTTCTTGCAACGTTATTTATGGGGTTTCCTTGATTAGTGTTCTTGAGTTAATAATATTATTTATTGTATCCATTGTAAAACCCATATATCTTCAATGATCAATCTATATATGCATGGTGTTTTGAAATTGTTTTCCAGTAGTATTTCAAAAATATCTTAGATTCCAGCCAATTAATTCATTTTTTACAATATATGATTATTATATTTTGCTTATTGAGATACATGCATATATATATATATATATAGATAGTTGTCTTGTAGTGAACAAACATACGTACTAATGTCATAATTAACCTCGTTCAGGTCGCAAATATAAGGCACAGATTTGGTTCCAAAATCCATGGGCATCATCATACTACAAACAAACAGATCTAGACAAGGAATATATATATATATATATATATATATTGAATAATTAAGACATATGTATATATATCACTGAAACTATTAATTGACATTGAAATTTAATTTGGAAGAAGACAAACACATGAAGACACACCACACTGATCATATATATATCTACAACAACAATATTAATTTATCAATAAAACATTAAATTTGATTTCTTTCAAAGTCCTAGATTGACCACCAATTCCAAATTCCAAATTCCAAATTCCTAATATTAATTTAAAAGATAGATAGCAAGAAGAAGAATACAAGAGGACATGACAATCAGCTAAGAAAATGGACATATCCTTATGGACAACTATTTACTTTTCCCCAAACCCTTCTTTTTTCTCTCTCTCTCTCTCTCTCTCTCTCTCTCTCTCTCTCTCTCTCTCTCTCTCTCTCTCTCTCTCTCTCTCTCTCTCTCTCTCTCTCTCTCTCTCTCTCTCTCTCTCTCTCTCTCTATACATACACACATCCTGCTGTGTTGGGAATGTTGCTTTTGGTGTATTTTGAAAAATTTTGGTTTTAAGATTAATAATAAAATAATATATGATGGGATATTTTATGAATTATTTTTTTAAAAAAAAAAAATACAGAGTCCAAATAATAAAAAATTTGAGATTTGGGATTAAATAAACAAATCTTGATTTTTTAAAGCAGCTGGTCAAATAGCTAACTAGGTTACAGTAAATATATATATATACATATTATAAATATAAATATAAATATATTACAGCTAAGTAGCTATTAACTTGATTCACTAATTTATATTCCCTCAATTAATCTGGAACAATTATGTCATCCTTTATTTTATTTATTTAAGCATAATTTATTTATTTTAAACATTTTTATTCAATCATAATTTTATTATTCCTATTTTAACTGATAATAACAAATATGTCATTATTTTTTTTTCTGCTTAATACTCTATTATATTATTACCTATTTAATAAATTTCTTATAATACATTTATTTTATTTTTTACATACCTCATTTTTAAATTACAAAAATATTATTAATTTTTAATTTTCGTATCCAGACATTGTGGTATAATTAACTTGTACAGAAGGGGTATTTTTTAACAGCTAGTCAAATTACATATGTGAAAATTAATCAAGGTTTGGCCATGCAAGTTTTAGTCAATACTATTAATTATTTCTATCATCCAAATTTCCAAGGCCTTTAAATTCGATGACTCGAAAAATTAATGAAAAATTTATTCGAAAGAGTTTAATAGTACTATGGTGTTAAAGGATTATTGTACGGCCTCCGTCTAATTTACTCTACAAATATTATTGTATTTATATTACATGAGACTAATAGAGATATTTTTATATTTTTCTCTTGATTTATACTATGTATTAATATAATATTTAATATTAAAAAATTTATACGCAAAAAAAAATCAATGATACTCTTCTTTTGAAACGAAGTTAGTATATGAGATTATGATTTTGTTATGTTATAAACATAATATTATAAGTAATTAAATCAATTCATTTATACATTTATATACACGTTTAATTTGGATCATATTTCTTTCTTCGAACTCCTAATTGAGTCCTCCAATATTTAAACAACCAAACTATTAATTAATAAATATATATTTAGTTTTTATTTAAAAAAAAAAAAAAAAGGTGAGGGGAAATGCAAGAAAGAGCTGGACTTTGAAAAAAAAGTTGAAGGCATTGATAGTAGGGAAGAATATTCTTAGGTCACCAAAGTTCAACAGCTAAACTCCAAAGATTAAATTCTAAACAAATCCCACAAAGCAAAAACATCATTAGATTATGATTATCATAAAGCTAAGGGTTGGCAGGCAAAGTCAGCCCACACCCACACCCACACCAAATTAATTAATTTACTAATAACTAATTAATTTAACAAATTAATTAGTGCTCACTGTTCAAAAAATTCACTGTTTTTGTCAGTTGTTTGTCTAACTCTATGCTTAATTTACATCCTAAAATCCCCACTACATTTATATATATATTTTTTATTTTCCTTTATTGGAATTGTCACAGTAAGGGTTTAAAATTTTCAATTATATATAAATTGCTTGTGGTCCAAATTCAGGTCTCTTAATTGTCAAGAAATTTCAATGAAATCTACCCTTGTAAAAATTACTAGCAATTAATTAAGGGTATGTATTTAATTAAATTAAAATTGGTAACACACACATATTAAAAATTGATTCCAGCACATTCCTTGAAAAGCAAAGAATATTTGCATTTGCAAAACTTTAACTAAAAGTCTCTCATTAAAGTGGTCGTGTACCACCCAACTATCAAACTATCCCAAGATTTCTTATTGGATACATTATTATTATTATTATTATTATTATTATTATTATTATTATTATTATTATTCATAATCATGAACAATGAGTTAACACCATATGAGCCATCAATATTATAGAGGAAATTAACCAACTCAAAAGTGACCATCTTAAATAAAGATGGAATAAAAATTAAAATTAATCACTTTAAATTGTATAAGATCAATTGCAAAATCACAAAAATGAATTTTTGCAAGAGAAAATAGAAGGGCATTATTATTATTTCTTTAGAAAGTGCATGTGTGAGCTGCATAGTTGAAAAAACTAAAACCGAGTATAAAAAGAACAAATCCGTAGATTGAATATTGATAAGTGATTTACGAGAAAAAAAATACTTTTTATTTTTAAGATTATTATACTATATCTAAAATAAAATAAATAAAAGATATGATTTTTTATTTTTTTTCATTTTTAAAGATTACACACTTCTTTCTCAATTCATCATTAAATGTATTCACATAGTAATATAATTTTATATACGATCTATTTATTTACAGATAGATATAGATCTAAATGTTAATTTTAAAATTGTATTCACTATTGTTAATTGTAGCTCTTATCTAAATATTGGTTTTGCAGGATTTGCTCTTTATCTTTATGATGCAATCTTCGAATCAGAATTAAATTTTGATAATTCCAAAGTTTTGAAAAAGGGAGATAATTTCACTAATTATTTAAAAATCATTGCAGATGAAATTTATAAGTTCCACGTAATCTCACGTGCATGGTAATAAAATAAAAGCATTATGATTTATATATTTTTACTACGTTGTTTAAATTTAATCAATAATGGTATTTGGAAATGAAAATAAATGTGACAAGTGATAAAATAGGTCTACTCTACGAATTCCATTTGGATTAATTTTTTTGAAATTTATTTGTCCTTGTATTTGGACAGACGTACTGCACTGCATGATGTAGGCACGTGCACGTGCACATGCATGCATGGCTCCATTATTCTTTTTCATTAACATTGAAAATATAAACATATATATATATATATATACACACACTAATCCTTTAGTTGTTTATATGAACAAAGAAATAATACCTAAAGATTATTTTTTGGGCTACACATATTGTTAATTATGATAGCAACACATATATATACCCATTATTGAAGTTTTTTTTTTTTTTTTTTTTTATCATATATATGTGTGTGTATATATATATATATATATATATGTATATACCATTTTCGAACTAACTTAAATGTTGAATGAAATCAAACGTAAATGGACGGTTCGAAGCTAGTCTACTATTTTTTAGCTATGTAAACTTAACTTGGAGCTTATATATACCTTTTAAACTTTTTACTATTTAAATTACAAATTTTAAACCAAACACAAAATTAAAGTTAAAATTAAAATTAAACAAAAACATACCCATATATATATATATATATTTTTTTTTTTTATGTTGAGAGATGAGAATGCCAAGTAGCAAACATCAAAATGATTAAATTAATGATGAATAATGTTAAATTTGTAACATAATTTTGGAAGTGGGGCTGTGTATAATTTAATTAATTAATCAATCAAGGGAATGGGTCACATCACATCACCGAATTTGTTGATTGAATTAAACACAATAAAATTAATTATTTGGTGCATGCAATAATTTTCGAAAAAGAATAAATTAATATATTAAAAAGAAGAAACAAAAAGCAAAAACAATTATGGGATAATCATTCAATTGGAAAGGAGGTGTCGTTGCTTTTTAATTTGAATACGTCTCTCTCTAATATATATTCAAATACAATAATACTCTCTTCTCTTACCTCAATTCCAAGTTTTACCTTTAATGGTCTCCCATGAAATTACCAAAATAAAAACTATTTCATCGAAACCCAATAGATCCCTTCTTTGAAAACAATAAATTATTATAGACCCAAAAGAAAATTAAAAATAAAAAATAAAAATGATATTCTGTTCCGACAGGAAGCTGTTAAAAATTTGTAGTACACGAGGAGGCAATTAAAGATGTAGTTGTAGTAGTAGTAGTAGTCGTAGTATTCTACTCTTTGTTGTATATATGTTAAGGATTGAAAACCTTAATCACCCCACTTTGTATTATTCTCGTTTATGCTTTTTCCCCCACTCTAGAGAGAGAGAGAGAGAGAGAGAGAGAGAGAGAGAGAGATCATCAAAATCTTGATTGAATCATCCATGGGAATTAATTCAGACATGATGAGGGAGAGTGAGTAAAGGTATCTTTCTGGGTAGCCTGTAATAACATCAATCAATCAAGTATCCTGCAGATCGATCCATCTATCCATCCATCATGAGCTCAGAAGAACTTGTTTCAGTTTGTTCTACTCAAAGATCCATCGATGGATCTAATCCTCCCCCTCCAAAGAAGAAGAGAAACCTTCCAGGAACACCAGGTTATACATACACATACATATAACTAATTAATCAAGTGGTCTGATCTGAAATTGAATTCAATTGAATCGAATGTATCAGATCCTGAGGCGGAAGTGATCGCGCTGTCGCCGAAAACCCTGATGGCGACGAACAGATTCGTGTGCGAGATATGCGGGAAGGGGTTCCAGAGGGATCAGAATCTGCAGCTGCACAGGAGGGGCCACAACCTGCCATGGAAGCTCAAGCAGAGGAGCAGCAAGGAGGCGGCGAGGAAGAGGGTGTACGTGTGCCCGGAGAAGACCTGCGTCCACCACCACCCGTCGCGCGCCCTCGGCGACCTCACGGGAATCAAGAAGCACTTCTGCCGGAAGCACGGCGACAAGAAATGGAAGTGCGACAAGTGCTCCAAGCGCTACGCTGTCCACTCCGATTGGAAGGCCCACACCAAAACTTGCGGCACCCGGGAGTACAAATGCGACTGTGGGACTCTCTTCTCCAGGCATGTTTATATATGCATATCTTCATCTTCATCGTTGATTCAGACAGCCCAGAATCATTAAATTGAATTGATACTGCAGTAGCTACTCAGGTCTAATTAAGGCTAGATTATTAGGTCATATCTCTAGATTTGATGCAAGTTTTTTGATTGATTACAAAAAGTTAAGTGGGAATTGAAGGGAAACCCTAATTTCACCATACAAACATGCCACCAATTTTTCAAATTTGTTAAAAAGGATGAGTCTTTTACTGCTTTTAAGTTCAACTAATTAGTTAATTACTGAATAACTCGTCTTGGTAACTGATTAACAATTTCTTAATTAATTAATTTCTCAAATGTGTTTTGTGTACGGACAGGAGAGACAGCTTCATTACACATCGAGCATTCTGCGACGCCTTAGCCGAAGAGACGGCGAGAGTGACGGCGGCGGCGGCGATACACATGAACACCAGCAACCTGCAGCACCACCATCCTGCAACCACCACCACCACCTTCAACTACCACTTAATCGGGCAGCATTTCCACCCCATTTTCAAACCCATTCAAAATCCCAGCAATATCATCGATCCAATCAGGGCTAGCCAGCTGTCGCTGTGGATGACTGCTCATGATCATTCCCCCAAAAATCTACAACAGATCAACAATTCCCTGGGAATCTCCATCACATCTGGGCTAAATAGCTTCACCTCCCATGGCGGCCATGATCATCCAAATCCACCTCCACCTCCACCACCACCTGCAGCATCGTCGATGAACTGGGACTTTGGAAACAAGCTCTCCTCCTCATCGGACGGCCCAGATCATCCCACAATCCCTATCCCAATCCAAATCCCAAATCTTCCTAAAGAAGTGAGTACTTCTCCAGCTCCATCTCTGTTCAGCACTCAAATCCATAGCCACCAGCAATTGCCCATTTCTGCAACAGCTCTGCTGCAGAAAGCTGCTCAAATTGGGGCCACAGCTGACCCTTCATTCCTCGGAAGCTTTGCCCTAAAGGGCAGTGAAAGTACGACTGTTTCAGTTCAAGACAAGTTCTGCGGACTGTACGCCACAAACTCGTCAGCAACCAGTGGACTCGGCAGCGACATGGAAAGTTCAGTGAATGATCTCCCTCCCCTAAATCACATGGACATGGACATGAACCCTTCCGGTTCGAAGCGGCGCCGGACGATGAACAACGACGAGATGACCGGAGGAAAAACTAGGGATTTTCTTGGAGTTGGGATTCAGTCCATATGCCATCATCCTTCGTCGATCAATGGGTGGATGTGACTTGTAATGCGATACAGGAAGCTCGACCTAGCTCGTATCAATGGAGGGGATGATCGAAGAGAAGAGGGATAACTTGAAGATTATCTGCAACCTAATTTGCAGACAAGAATAATATTATATCATCAATGTGCTGATTCATCCATATTCTGCAGGAGATCCATCGATGCTCCAACACCTTTTGAAATTGGTGGCTTTTGTTTAATTATTGTGGTCGTGATGGGCAGTGAAGCTAAAGGGGGACTTTTTTCACTCACTCCATTATTATAATCTTTACTTAATTGCTCATATTTTAATTTATTTATGCAATTCCCACCATATATATATATATATATATATTGGCTTATGACTATGAGGAAAGATTACACATTTCCTGTAAAATATATGAACCCCTACTATATGTTTAATTTGGTAAATTAGCTGTCTTCCTCTCCTGTATGCTTCCTGCCCTTTTAACATATGTATAAATTGCTCTTATTAATTAATTCTTAATTATCTTAGCCTTTTAGCCCATGGATGTATACGAAGAAAACTTGGCCATATTTGCATGGGCAAATGTATAGAATAGTTTGAATGCACGAGTGAGTGGAGATAAATCATTTGGGCAATTTTTTTTAATCAATATATAGACTATATCTCCTATAATTGAAGTACCTAATTTAATTAACCCAACATATATTACTAAATTTAATCATCATTTAAGAAAATATCTCTATTTAGTAATCGTAATGTATAAAACTGGATCTCACACTAACTTTATTTGAGTTTCTAATATTTTCTCTCAGAGATTCGAAGCTAACAACAAATTCATTTAAATATAGGAGTATTTGATATGTAACCCAATGTTTACAAAGGACGGTTGTTATGGTGCTGACTTGTGCTGATTTTTTCATATATATAAGATCGTTCAATTATTATGATAGTACAAAGTTAAAGTTCAAATAGCACCAAATAGAAGCAAAATATATATTCTATATATAGAAACTTCACATACTCTTGCAAAGCACCAATTCGATCAAAACTTAGCTTAATTAGGTCCCTCAACACCAAACTTGGTGAATGACACCCACAAATTGATGAAGCCGGCCACAAGGGTTTGGAGTATATATATGAAACTATGTCCGTGAAGGCACGAGCATTGGTTTGAGCTAGTTCAGCAAGTCGGTCCGATTATATTGTGGGCTTGAAGTTTGATAAATGTATAACTTAAAAGAGGTCCATTTTTCTTCAAAATTCAATTGAAATTTTTTGAAATTTTGTTTCGAGATGAGTCCAACAAGGGCAAGCCCACACTAATCCATGCATGTTTAAGTAGACCATACAAGCCCACATTGCATGATAGATATGAATCATGCATGCATGTTTGAATTTGAATTTCAAGTGCATGCACTACAAAAAAATAATATATTTGTAACGGAATTCCGTCCCTAAAGTTCACGTAGCTAACGTAATTCCGTTCCTAATTCCGTTTCTAATGTCATTAATAACGGAAAAAGTAGATTTAGAGACAAAAAAGTTTTGTTACAAAAATGATTTTTTCTTGTAGTGATGCTAAATCGTTTGAGTATTTATTTTCACAATTTATGTCCTAACACTATGTTTCTTTTGCCAAACATTCATACTTTTACTATTTGAATTCTGTATTTCTCGAAAAAAATATATATTTTTTCCTCTCACAAAATATTCCATCATACATTATTTTAATATCAAATTCAAACTAATTTTTTTTCAAACTCATATAAAGAAACATACAATATTTTTATAGGACAAAGAATTGGGAATAGGAGGAGGCCAAGCCAAACCTACATCCAATCACATATTTCATTTCCCCTCACACTTTTGTATCTATATATATATATATATATACCATATATCTTTTCAAAAAATAATTGTTAGTTCTAACTCAAAAAATATAAATTAAATTAAATTTTAAAAAACTGTAGATTATTTACATATGTTTTGTTTAAAAAACTGTAGATTGCATTTACACATGTTTCAAAACGTACGTTTTCTTTTTTGGATAGTTTTGGAATAATCAAATACTACATAAAAAAATAAGTAATGATATAGCGGAAATTCTGTCGTTAATAAAACGGTAGGTTTTTATATATATATATATATATATTAAATAAAATTAATTTATAATTTTTTTTTTAGATGAGGCTCTATTATATATACTTAAATTATTTTTTACACTGTTTGTTAATACTGTTTTTAAAAAATATATAGCATTATATACTTATATAAAAACATATTTTCTATATAATAATATTATATTCAATATTTGTTTATACTATTTTAAACATATATTTGTTTTAATTTTTAATTATTTTAAAATATTCAAAAACCTAAAATACTTACCAATCATAAGTATTTGTTTAGTTGTAATTTAAAATAAAATTTTTATTTAAATTTTTATTTAAATAATTTTTTTATAATATTTTATTAAAAATTATACTTAAATAAATATTGATAATTTCAAATTCAAATTACAACAAAAGCAGATGATATAAAAAGAAAAAAAAAAAACATTATAAATAGTAAAAATATATTTGAAAAAAAATAATAAAAAGGTGAATTAATTAAGCGCACCAAACAACATCGAATTAAAAAAAAAAAAAAAAAAAAGAGCATTGATTATATAATGTCGAAATTTGAAATTTATTCGCAAATCAAATAAAAAAGAAATAATTTGAATCTGCAGATCCCAAAACACCATCAAATGACAAGCGACAACTCCGCGGAGGTCCCCAAATCAGTAAAGAGGGTCGGCAAAGCACTTAATGCGCCAAACAACGGTCAAAATTGACGTTGAAATCGTAACGGCGACAGACGGAGTGAGACTGAGACACCCGCCCATTCAAAATAATTCAATTGATTAATCTTGTCCATTTCCCGCGCTCCCTCCATTCAAAATAATTAATAAACATTACTCATAATAGACTACCAAACCCATCTTCAATCAATCCACACTACTCTAATCTAATCTAATTCCAATATCCCTAATCCAAACATTAATTAAAAATCCCAATCATTAAATCATTCGATACTGTTTAATTACGACATAACTATGCCTCCTTCTCTTCCACCACTGCCGGCGGCATCTCCGCCCCCAGCTGCTGCAGCATGCCGACCACCCGCCGCATCGACGGCCGGTTCGCCGGAATCTGGCTCGTACACAGCAGCCCGAGTTCTAGAACCTTCCCGGCGTGCTCCTCGAATCTCGGATCGAGCTTCGGGTCGAGGACGAGAACTTTTCCCGACCGGACCCATGCTGACAAGTCCTTCTCGCCGTACTCCGGACTCACCGGCGGCTTCCCCGTCACGAGCTCCATTAGGACAATGCCAAAGCTGTAAATGTCGCTCTTTTCGTTCACTCGGAGCGTATACGCATACTCTGCATTTGTAATAAGATTTCGACAATATGTTATCGACTCGATCACGATAATTGAGTACATTTCGAGTATCCGATTTTACCTGGGGCGATGTATCCGCAAGAGCCTGTTATAGCAGACATGGATTGAAAACCGTTATCGATCGTTTTGACGATTTTTGCGACTCCAAAATCGGCGATTTTGGCGCCGAAATCTTCGTCAAGGAGAATGTTGTTGGACTTCACGTCACGGTGGACGATCGGAGGAACAGCGTCATGGTGCAAATAAGATAGACCCTCGGCGGCGTCCAATGCGATGGAGAACCTCTTCGGCCATGTCAATATTTTCCCATTGTTCTTGTGGAGAGCGTCGCCTAAGCTCCCATTCGGCATGTACTCGTAGACGAGAAGTTTGCAGGCTCCCATGTCGCAGCAGCACCACAATTTCACTATATTCTTGTGTCGTATACTGCCCAACGTCTCGACCTCGACATGAAACTCGTCGACATTGGAAGTATCGTCGAATGTCAGCCTGTCGTGCATTTTCTTCACGGCGACCGTCTCCCCATTGCTGAGGATGACTTTGTACACCTTTCCGGACGCGCCCATTCCGATCATGTTCGCTTCTTTCAAGCACTTGGCGATTTCAGTTTCGCTGAATTCGAGCTTGTGGAACGACGTCCATTTCACCAACGGAACGCTTTTCTTCAATCGATTGATTTTCTTGTACTTGATCATAAACCATACGATGCCGGCAGCAGTTGTGATTCCAAAAAAGATAAGGACGAACATTATGAACCATGAAAAGACTGGAGGTTCGTGGCCTTTACTAGGTCGGCATAATCCGGAAGTTTCTAGACAAAGCCCGGGATTTCCGAGGAAGCTGTCCCTGAAAAATTCTCCGGCGAACAGAGGAGGTATAACTCCAGCGAGCATATTGTTCGATAGATTGAGCTGATTAAGCTTCAAATTCTGTAAAGACAGCGGAATGCTCCCCGAGAAATGATTGTTCGAAAGATCGAGGTAGTTAAGCACCGGCAAGTTTCCAATTTCATCGATTATAGGACCGGACAAGGTGTTGTTCGCCAGATTCAGATCATTCAGTACCTTCAGGTTCTGAATTCCAGTTGGAATTCCACCGGAAAATCTGTTGTTATGAAACTCAAGCCGAGTCAAGTGTCGTAAATGCGTCAAGCTACTCGGTATTTCTCCGCTGAACATATTATTGTTGACGGTAAACTCGACCAAACTGTCCAACAAGCCAAATTCAGATGGTATGTTCCCGGAAAACTTGTTTTTCGAAATATCAAAGTCCGTTAAGCTTTTCGCACCCTTGATAGAACTGGCTATCGTTCCATTGAAGGAATTTCCCGAGAGCTCGAGCAAGTATACTTCTGGCAGTCCCCAAAACTCTGCCGGGATTTCACCGGATAATCTGTTTAGAGCCATTCGAACTCGTTGCAGTGTCCAGCATTTTGCAAGCTGCTGAGGGATAGTGCCGTAGAACGAATTCCGGAGCAAGATCATCTCCTTAAGAGCTCCATGTCGGCATAAAAATGGAGGAATTTCACCGGTAAGATTACACCCCGTTACGTCAAGTGTTTTCAAAGCAGAGTTCTTGCCAAGATCCTGCGGCAATGTCCCGGAGAACTTGTTGCCGAACAATTTGAGTTCATACAAATTCGGCGACTTGGCAATGCTGTCCGGGATCACACCCTCAAGATGATTTTCGAACAAGTTGAGCGACTCCAACGGCAACTCGCATAGTTCATTCGGAAGATTCCCCGTGAAACGATTCATCGAAGCATCGATTCGCCTCAACCGAGTCAGATTAGACCATCCATTAGCCAGCAGATTGCCAGAAAACGTGTTGTTGAACAGCTCCATTTGAACTATGTTCTTGAGCTTCATAAGAACATTTAACGATCCAGAGAGTTTATTACCCGAAACATCGAGATTCTTCAGCCTACTCAACCTGCCATAACTCTCCGGTATCGTCCCCGTCAAACCGCAATTACTAACCCATAATTCTTCCAATTTAGTCATGTTACCGATCTCCCAAGGTAGCTCACCCCCTAATGGATTGTAAGCTAGAAAAAGCTTCTTCAGAGTTGTAACGTTAGCCAAAAAAGCAGGAATGGTGCCAGTTAGAAGGTTTTCAGTGAGCTGCAGAGCTTCGAGGCGCTGGAAATACCCGAATTCCGCAGGAATCGCGCCGGAGAAGTTGTTGCTCTCCAATCGAAGTTCCCTGCAAGTAATGGAACTGTACTGTGAGAAGGAACATAGAAAGGGTAAAGTGGTGGTTGTCGTTGCCTCATTAAATGCAGACGATGGTTTGAATGTGTCTTCTGTTACAGGGAAGATGTTCGGAGAAATGATTGTTTAGCAATTAATGTTACCAGAAGATGTGAAAATAGGGTAAAACAAAAGAATCGAAAATTCGATACACAATCAAAGGCGTCGTCAGAAATTTTCCCCCAATATAAAACGGCAATGGAGGTGCAACTGGATTGGGGAATAATGTTGTAAGAGTTAGACATTAATGGAAGCGATCGTACCTGAGGGAGCGGATGTCGGCGAGCGTGGGCGGGAGAGGACCGACGATGAAGTTGCCGGAGAGATCGAGGTAGACGAGGCTCCGGCAGTCGGAAATGGAGAGAGGAAGGGAGGAGTTAATCTCATCGTTGTCGAGAGAGAGCTTGGCGAGAGAGGGCAGGCGGCAGAGGTCGATCGGGAAAGGGCCGGCGAGAGGTGCGCCGGAGAGAACGATGGAGACGACGGAGTTGCGGGCGTTGCAGGCGACACCGGTCCAGTTGCAGGGGGTGGGTGCGCCGGTCCGGTCGGACCATCCGGAGAGGAAACCGGTCGGGTCGGAGAGGGATTGCTTGACGGAGAGCAGGAGCAAGCCCTCCTGGTTGAGAGCAAGGTTGAGGTTGAGGTTGAGGTACAGAAAGAGGAGGAGGAGGAGAGACGGAGACGAGGGTCTGGTCTGCATGCCCGCCATTGATGCAAGAATAGAGGGCAGTGGAGGATTGAGGAGGGAATAGAAATAGGAAGAAAAGGTGTCTCTCACAATCAATCACTGGGTTTGTACTTTTTTGGTAGGGAGGGGAAGGGAAATGTGAAAGGTGAGGGTGACCTGGGGAAGAGGGAAAGGGAAGAAGAAGAGGAAGACGAAGGGAGAAGGATGTTAATCGTGAGGGGGGAGGGGGGGAATTCCCATTCCTATTTCTATTCCTATTCATGTTTCCTATTTCCTATGGTGGGGCCCCACCTCATGCATCTGGACTTTTTTGGACTCATGATTATTACTATTATTGTTTTATTATTATTATTATTATCTTTTCTTTTGTTTATTATTTTTGTTTTGTTTTGATGACGTGAAAATTTGCATTCATTATCCGAAAATATCTATAGGGTAAATTACGTATCGAATCTAATACCTTGTAAATTATAATTATTATTCACTTCGTCTTGGAACAAGGTTGTTTATTTTTTTTTCACATAAATTTTTTAATATTAATATTATATTGAATTATAATGAAAAGAATAAAAATATCCCTATTATTATTGTGTAATATAAAAATAATGATAATTGTGTAATATAATGTAAATTAAAATAGTATTTATTAGGTTCGATAATAATACAATTATTAAATTAAAAAATAATAATTTATTTTAGGATTGATGAAAATGAAAATTACAAACTTAATGGGAGAAGGGGAGGGAGTATTATTATTATTTATTACGTGAGAATCTGCGAGTTCTACCTGAAAGTATGCACTGAGTAAACTCCGACCAAATCTAACACCTTGCAAAATGATAACCTCACACGGGTAAAAGTTCAAGGGTGATTACAAATGAGGAGAGAGAGGGGCATTTAATTCAGTGTCGCCGTGTCCTCACTTTTGCTTCTGCGATATATTTTGATTTTTTATGGATGCTTTATTGACTTTGGCTAGTACTCCTATGTTTTTTAAAATTTTTTGTATTCTTTATTAATAATATTTTTAAAAATTACATATAAGTATGTCAATATTACAGTAGATATATAAATTTAAATAAAATATACCTAATAAATAATTAAAAATTATATTAATAAAAATAATTAATCGGGTTATATTTATTTTTTATAATATTATACTTAAAATTAAAAATATATTTTATAAAAAATATTTTGTACAAATATCATAATATAGTATTACAGGCAATTAATTGAATTATTTTTATCATTTTTATTATTTGTAAAGTTGGGCGGGGTCCTAAAAAGTGAAAAGATTGGTTCATTTTGGATCTTTAGTTGCAACATTTTCGTTGGACCAGCAGACAATCTAGCTTTTTTTTTTTATGAATTATTTATTGGTTGGTGAAAATATGGAATAGATATTTTTAACATTTGATTTTGTGTAATAATAATTTTGTAATTTACACAAAAGTTACTAATATTTTCATATTAATGTATAATTCTTTTTATTAAAATTAAAAAAAAAAATTATATGATAAGCAAAAATAATAATAATAATAAATACTTTAAATGTAAACGAAGAGAATAATTATTTTTTAATTTTTATATTCAACCAAATTCACATAAATTTTTCAGAGGGATGAAATATATAAATATAAAATACAAATACTAAGGAAACATATTTCTGAAAGTTTGCAAATATTATAAATATATATACATATTTGATATAATATTATTTCTGAATTTAGCCAAGAAAGAATTTGAATTTGAGTCTGGTATTTGTACAAATGAAAATTTGAAGTTGAGAGTTATGAAGGAGGAATTGGCCCAACACTTAAGTTTTGGAATGTTTGGATAAATTTATTATTGTTGTCCAATGAGAGTGGAAATAAATTGGTAGAAGAAGAAGAAGAAGGGTTGATTTTTTAAAGAATATTTTAATGGTGGGGATTTTAATATGTAAGTTACAAAATCAATAAATGGATTATTGAATGAAGTATTTATTTGCATGCGCGGAATATGTCACACATAGCTCGCCTAATGTAACTTCCCTGTCGAGTCTGACTTGTAGGATATTAAGTTCGGTCAGAGGTTTACTCCGTGCGCACTTTCGAGTAGCAGTTGCGAATTTTCACGTCATAAAAATAATAATAATAAATAATAAAAAAATATCATCATGTAGTTCATCTATCTTTCTTTATTTTTGTTGCACTTATTTTCATGCAATAAACTCTATTGTTAATTTTCAAAACTTCTTTTACATGGCTATACTTTCCATCCAAGAACATTGAATAATTCACTTTTCTTTTTTTCTTGTTTTTTTAAATAAAATATTAACAATATTACTTATAATTTTAAAATCACAAATTTACCCTAAATAGGACTAATGAATTATATATGTATATATATCTATATGGATATATATATATGCGTGCATAATATATGTACATATGTTGTGAATGATTAAAAAAAAAAAAAAAAAAAAGGAATAATAATTAAGCAGTACGGAGTGACTAGAAGACAAACATACACACCTTGTTTTTAATAATTAAAGCATACCGACTACTACTGTAACTATAATAATACATTGATAAGTTGTTTCTTTTGATTAGTTTTAAAAAAAAATTGATTTAGATTTGGTATGAAAAATAATTGTTAATGAGTAATTTTATGTGAAAGAAAAAATGTATTCCTTTCGTTTTAATACAATAGTCTTGTTATCATTTTTGTCCGTTTCAAAACAATAGTCTCATTTTCATAAATAATCGTATCACTATAAAACTATCCTTATTTTTTTATTATTATTACACAATTGTCGCTACTTTTTATACTAATATACTCAGAAGGGCAAAAAAGTCTTTTACATATACTTTTTACCCACTACCTATATAATATCAATATTTTTTAAATTCCGTGTCAAACTCAACCCAAACTATAGTTATGGGATGGAGAGACTATTTTTTTTCGAGAAATGCAGAGTCCAAATAGTAAAATCTTGAGAAATTCGGCTTAAGAAACAAGAAAATAATAATGAATGTTGTGTTCTTGTTGTCAAAGTGCCAAACATATTTTTTTCAAAATAAATTACTCCTTCGGAGATGGTTATCATATTCATTTTAGTAAATACAAAAATTTATAAAAAGATATAATTAATAAATAATTTAAAATATATTAATTAAAAAAATTATATATTAAAAAATTAAAATAATTAATTAATTATGTTAAAATAAAAAAAACATATATTAAAAAAATTAAAATAACTTTAAAATATAGTATAATATTTTTTTTGATAAAATAAGTGGCACAGACGAAAATGAAAAAATACACATGATAAGTGAAAGGAAAGAGTAATATATTATATATATTTATTATATATTATCTATATAATTTCTTATATTTCACATATAAACTATTTTTTCAAATAATTTTACAAAACAAACACACTTGAAACTTAAAAGAAGAAAAAATATACTCTTTCTCTTTTGATAGGATTAGGGATGTCAAATGGGGCGGATTAGCCCCGGATCCGGTCTTAATGGGGTGAGTTCAGGTCTACAAAATTTAGTTCGGGGCGGGTTGTGGATTTTGAGTTTTAGACCCGATCAAATTTGGGGCGGGTTACGAGTTTTACTATAAACCCGTCCCACTTCGGACCCGAACCTGAACCCAGATATTTTATTAATTATTATAATTTATTTATATTTTTGTACAATATAAATTATATTATTTATTTATTTAAAAACTTTTAAATACAAAATATAACTTTAATTTTATATCAAATTTATGTTTACATCTGTTTTTCCTACAATTTCCTTTATAATCAAGACTATTACTGACCGCCATCATTACATATTTTTTTTTAACATGTCTTTTTAATAATATATTTTTATTTTTATTTTTTAAAAAGTTTATTCAAATAAAAAATTATTACTATATTGTTACTTGTATCTAACCCTAGGTACGTACGGCCTAGATTTGTTCTGAAACACATATAGGCCGATTCGATCAAAAAACACATCTTGTTTCGCTCAGTAAAGAAATTTTTAGTTAAAAGTAGAAATTAATGTTGTCTATTTACAACTTTGCTTTTCTTCTCAAATGTACAAACATTCTTTAAATCTTTAAAAATGGAAAAAAACCCCAAATAGTTGAAACCATAAGGTGACACTTTTTTTTGTTCATATTTCATTTTCAATTGTATAATTTATAAATAAATCATTGTTAATTGAAAAAAATAAAATAAAACAATTGTATGACATTTATAATTGTTTTCTTTCATTGAAGATATATCTTTTACTTTTAAATTTTAATTTCAGAAGTATCTCAAACCATAAAAAAAACAAGGTAACCAATTTGGGAAACTTTTTCACATCAAATGGTTATGAGATTAGTATCCCATCTAATTAAAAATATCAAATTCTTGAAAATCTCTCATTTATTCTTCTACATTAATTTTCTTGTATTTTTATTTCATTCAAATTTAGAGAATTCCATCACTCTTTTTTTTTTTTTTTAAAAAAAAAAACATGCTAATAATAACAAAAATTTATAGCTTATTTTAATTTTGTGATAATTAAAAGTAACAAAGTTATGTCACATCTTCTTCTTAATTGACGATCCACTCTATTTTCCATGTAGTAAGATTTAGGGATCCCATTTTAAGTGTTATTAGGCCCAACATTAGTGAGAGAGGCCCAATAAGTAAATTTAATAAATGCATTCAATGTAGGGTGTTTCCATTATACATATAAGAATTTATATAAAATATAATTAATAAATAATTTAAAATTTGTATTAGTAAAACTAATTATAGTATAATAAAAATAATTGTATATTAAAATTAAAATAACTATAAATTATAGAATTTATATATGATGAAAATATATAATCATAATTTTAAAAAAGAGAAAAATAAATAACCTGGGATGAATCGAAAATGATAAAAATAAATATTTTAATTAAACTATTTAATCATATTAATCTTAATTTATAATTATTTTATTAAATTATAATTATATTCACCATAATTATTTTCAGTATTATTTTTTATTTTTTACTTTTCATTATCGCAATAATATGTATTCCCTCCGTTCATTTGTATAAGTATTCTTCTATTACTATTATAACGTTCTTTATTTTAATGTTCTTTATTTTAATGTTCTTTATTTTAATTTTTTTTACGGAGAGAGTGAATATTTTTTTCTTCTTTGTATAACATCATATATGAATTATTAATTAAATTAAAACCGAAACCTCTTAATTAAAAAATAAATAAACCCCCAAAAAACACTCATATTATATATTTGTTGAGAAAAACGTGTCTCTAATACATATCATATATACATATATATATATATATATGTATGTGGCAATGCTGGAAAATCGGTTGCATTTACACGCATATTGCAAAATCCGGCAGGCGCCGTTAACTAACGCCGTGAAATCGGGAAGCCAATCCCATGGCGCCGGCTGGGGAACAAGACGAACAGCGCGCTGCAGACCGACCCCACCGCGACGGGCACGGCCGCCACGAACTCCACCACCGCCGGCGACGGCTTCGGGTAGAAGCAACCGATCACATTATCGTCGGAAATGGCCACGGCGGCGAAAACAACCACAGATATCAACGCGTGGAAGAAATCCACGAACCTGATACGAAACTTCTCCGCCTCGTCGGAGGGGACGGCGGCGCCGGAGCCGTCGATGACGAGGAGTCCCCGGAAAGTGGCAATGCCGTAGCGGACCTTGCCGTTGTCGTCGCGGAAGCTGTCGGTGAAGCAGAGGACAAAGCAGGAGACGGCGCAGGAGGCGAGGAAGGCGGCGGCGAGGTCACGGGTGGCGCCGGAGGTGCATTTGCCGTCGTGGGTGAGGATCGGCGACAGGAAATGGAAGACGAAGAGGGTGCCGGTGGGGAGGAGGTTGGCGAGATTGGCTGTCCCTTTGAAGGCCTTCCGGACGGCCTTCTGCGCGGCGGTTTTGGGCGGCTTTCCGGCGAGTTGATGGGTGGCGGAGAGGAAGGGAAGTCGAATGATTGAGTGGTCCTCCGGTTTGTCGCCGGCGTCCATTGTCGGCGGCGGCAATGGACGGATGGACGGAAGGGATGATAAATCAGATTTGGGGATTATTCATTCATTCATTCGAACGTTAATGGTTTGGGTGTAGGTTATATGTGTATATATATATGTGTATGTATGTGTGTATTTTGTATCTGATCGAAACGAAATTTTTGGGTGGGGTGGAAATATAATGGATGGTGGCTGGATGGCAAAATTAATCTCTCTCTCTCTCTCTATCTCTCTCTCTCTCATTATTTTTTGAATCTATTAAGTAAAATGTTATGGGTTTTTATTTTTTTTTAATATAATGCAAAAAATTTAATATTTTTTGAGTGAGGAAATAAATTGAAAAGTGAAAATTCTTAAAAACAAAGTATTTGCTTTTAATTTTCTTGTTGGGCTATATTATAGAATCAATTTAAATAACAAAAGTGATCCGTTCAGAATGGTAACGAGCCCAAAAATGTAAACTCATAGCCCACTCAAATATTTAAATCTGCCCTTTATCAAACGTTATTTGAAGACTGCGGATGAATCCGTACCGTATCTAGGAAAAGTCGAAAAATGAAAAATAAGATATAAATATTTTATAAAAATTAGTTCAAAAAGTAATAAGCAATTTTACCTTAAAAATTTATAAAATTTAATAAAAATAAATACATAAAATTATATTAATTAAAAAGATAAAAAAAAATTATTAAATGCAAATATTATAGTCTATTATATTTAAAAAATTATTATATAAATTTGTATGAAATAAAATAATAAATTTGTTGATATTGAAGAAAGAAAAATTCAAGAAATGCAAAATATTATAGAACCGTGCGCACTGGGTAAACCTCGGCCGAACCTAATACCCTGCAAACAGGCCCGAACCATGTTTGGCAGGTGGATTTGAGGCGTCGGGAGTTTGAAACCGTGACCTCACGATCACAAGTCCAACCCCTAAACCACCATGCCATCCCTTATGGGACTATTCATGATAGATTCTTAAGTTGATGTGATTTGACATGGCAAAAAGAAGATTTGAAGAACATCATACTTGTTCATGGATGGACATGATTTAAAAATTAATTTTACATTTAAATTATCACATTAATACATATTTAAATCAAATTAAACAATTATTTTAATTCAAAATTTTAATATTAAAAACTCAAATAAAAGATTTAACCCTCAAACAAACACACCAAAAGCATATGTATGATTTTAACCCTAAAAATTAATTATACAAACACAACCCTCAAATATATTATACAAACTCATTGTGTGATTTTAAATTAAAGCACTACTGTAATAGACATGATTTATAAACTTAATACATATTGTTGACGTATTTTTTTCAACAATAAAAAAATAAAATCCGAAAATAGGAAATTATCTTCGAATTTGATATAATTAGTGTCTGAGATTAGGAAATACTCTTCAGAAACACTGTACGGTACATAAGAAAATACTGGAAAATAAATGCTACAAACTAAAATTTAAATGATGATCCTCGAATCACTGACTTTGCTGTCGTTTGAAGATGATTGAAGATACCCTGCCAGTTACTGACCTCAATCCTTAAATACTCTTCAGAAACAATACCTGGAACCGTCGCCCGAACGATTACAACGCCTCTTCTCAACCGTCTACCAATTCCTCTTTTGCTGAGTTCTCAACCGCCTTACCAACCGCGTCACCCAACTGACCAAGCTATTGCTCTCACCCGAATCTCCGACTTACTTATTTGACTGCAGATCAACTGACCTATCTGTCCGACCGCGGACCTTCGGACTTACTTCTCCGACCGCAGATCAACCGACCTGTGAACCGTCCGACCCGCGGACCATCCGACTTACGGGCCATCTGACTTGCCTGTCCGACTCGCAGACCATCTGACTTGCGGACCATTCGACCCGTGGACTGTCCGACTTGTAGACCATCCGACTTCCGGACCATACGACCTGTGGACTGTCCAACTTGCAGACCATCCGACTTGCGGACCATCCAACCTGTGGACTGTCCGACTTGCAGACCATCCGACCTGCGGACCATCCGACCTGCGGACCATCCGACCTGCTATTTCCTTAGAAAGATGTCCGTTTCACCTGATTATCTTGAAACACCTCTTAATTAATCTAACGGACCCAATTACAAGCCCACATCTCTTTCTAGCTTGGGTCTTTTAACCTAATTATGAAATTCATACGTAACACATATATACAATAATATATTATTATCCCAGAAAAATGGATATACTCCCTCTGTCCCGGTACAAGGTTGTCGTTTACTTTTTGCACGTAGATTTTTAAATATTAATATTATAATGAATTGTAGTGAAAATGATGAAAATGTCCCTATTAGTATTATGTAATATAAAAGTAACGACATTTGTGTAATATAGTGTAAGTTGGAAGGGTATTTATTATGTTAGGTAGGTTGTACAATTACTAAATTAGGAAATGGTAACCTTATTTTGGAACGGACGAAAATAAATAATGACAATTTTTCAATAAGACGGAGGAGTATATCATTTTTGTTAATTAATGTGTATATATATATATATATATGTGAGCTTGTGTGTGATGATATAATGTGGATGTGGAAAAACTGAGAAGGATTCATGAGTTGATGACAAAGTCTATCATCACAATAATATATTTTATTCTCCCATGAAAATGAAAATGAAAATATATTCCTAAATATAACTCAGATTTCGAAATTGTTTGTCTATTTCACATCTGCATTATTTAAAATAACTTATATGCTGTATGATATCAAAGTCTACAAAACTCCAAAGAAAATACTGCCAGACTTTTGCATGCAAACAATTTAAGGACAACCACACAAACCCCTCATGAAGAAAACAAAAATTTAATTCAAACAAAATAATTATCAAGGGATATTACAAATTTAATATATTTAGGTAAGATTTCACTTCAAGCAACAGTTGATAACCTAAATAACCATGTGGTTAAAAAAAACAATAATAGTAGTAAGTAAATAAAAATGAGGACATAAAAGGACAATTACTAACAGTGAGGGTTTCTTTCTATTTTTGTTTGTGTCTGAAACATGTTGGTAGGATAAACACTTGCATTTAATGATTTTTTCCACTTAATGGGATGGACCCTTACCATATTGGCTTATTTTTGGGGCATTAAATGATGGTTGGATTTTACAGAAAAAAGCAGTCCATCTATTTTAAATTTTAAAGAAATTAATTTTATATTCAATGGGCATAATCATTAGTGTGATTTAAATAATAGGTTTCGGGTTTCTTTGGAAGTAAATTTGGAATGATGATAATAGTAATCATCATAGAGAAGGATGTTTCTTATTAATTGGGAAGAATATTTGCAAATTTATTGAGTGAGTTGTATGAAGGGGGTAGGGAAAGAAATCTAAGGGTAGGTTGTGATTTCAATATCAAATCACTATTGATTTTTTTTTGTCTCGTTTGTAATTGGATTTCTTTATCATTTTAGTAAATAGTTCTGTAAGTGAAATTTTTTTTCAATTTAGTCTTCAATGCCTAGGTGGCATCTGAGTGACAGGTTGGCGGACAAGTGTCGGCCAAACTAGTGTCACGACACGTAGATTTTATTTTATTTTTTTAAATATAAAAAAATTATAATTATAAAAATAAAATTAAAAATAAATAAATAAAATTATTCATATGTCCGCAAGTCAGCACTATGTGACATTTAATATTTATATATTAGTATATTTTTTAATTATATTTTTATATATTTTATTTTTTATTTTTAATATAAAAATATAAATTATTCACGTAGGTCACGTAGCACTGATCTGACGGATACGTAGATAATTTTTATATTTTAATTTTAATTTTTATAAAGTTTATATATTTATTTTTATTTTTATTTTTATTTTATTAAAAAATAATATTAAAAAAATAAAAATGCAAATTATCCACGTGGCAGACACGTGTCAAGCACACGGCGCTGATCTGGCCAACACGTGTCCGTCAGCCTCCCACGCAAATACCACCTAGGCATTGAAGACTAAATTAAGAAAATTCTCCACTTACCGGACTAGTTTAAGACAGCTTTTAGTTACGGAACCAAAATGATAAAGAGATCCAGTTACGGGACTAAAAAAATAGTTTATCCTTTATTTTGTATAATTTTTATTAAAAATATGCTCTCTCCCCCACTTCAAATGGGTCATATGGGGTTTCATAATAGATTGAGAAATAATAGTATTTTATTAGCGAGTGGAAATGTGTAAGAAATTTTAATTTTTTTTGACTTTTGACTTTATGTATAAAGTAATTATATGTGTAATGGTATGTTTGTAGTTTAAATAAAAGTTAAAGACTATTTTGATATTAGTGTATAATTACTTTTAATAAAATAAAAAATAAATACTTTGGAGTCGGACGAAAATTGTAAGAATGGCACTTTGAGTTGGAATGAATGAAGTATATTTTTTTTAAATAAAATATTAGTACATTAAAATACTATTTAAATAAAAATTCAAATCAATTTCAAACCACAACTAAACATATTCTAAGATCACCACGATCATTTTTTTTTAATTAAAATTTTCGAATGTGTATCAAATAAATTTCTAAATAGAAAATACCTTGATCAAATTTGAACTCATAATTTTACTGTAACAATTTAGTGTATCACATTAATTTAGTGACTCTTAATTCTGACATGAGAAAATGTTGGCGTTAATATATGAATATGTATCGGGTTATTAAGTTTTGCGTCTACTATTTATTTATTTATTTATTACTCCCTCCATCCCATGTAATATAGTTGTATTACTGTAGACACGAGAATTTAGGTAAAGTATAATTAGTAAGTATCTAAGAAGTGTATTAGTAAAAATAATTATTATTTAGTAAAAATAATTATAAATTAAGATTAAGATAAGGAAATAGTTTAATTAAAATTAAGAAAATTATAAAATTTAAAATTTAAAATGCAATTAAAGTGCATAATTATATTTCTAAAAATAGAAAGGACAAGTTATGTGGGACGGACGAA